TGCAAGACCATGGAATAATAGTAGAAAGCGTATTGTGTACTACATGCGGTAATCCTGCATCGTTTTCTCCTCCGAAATGTCTATGGCGATGTCAGCGGCGTCATAGAACAAAACAAGGACATAAAGTCATTAATAAAAAGTGCAATTTTAAGAGATCAGTGCGAGCCGACTCTTGGATCGAGAACACAAATTTAACACCAGAAAAAACGTGTGCCTTTCTAGCCATGTATATTTTACTTAATCCGCCGCATCAACAAATGTTGGTTGATGAATTAGAATTATCTTCGACTACTGTGTGTGACTGGAGTTACTTTATTCGTGAAGTGTTAGACATCGCCATAGACATTTCGGAGGAGAAAACGATGCAGGATTACCGCATGTAGTACACAATACGCTTTCTACTATTATTCCATGGTCTTGCAAAAATTTTAGACTACGTTCGCGTGATTCAAAATTAATTGACGCATGCCGAATAGATATGGAACATCCTTCACACGTCATGATTTCTATCAAACTGATTAAAATGATCTAAATCGCGAATTTGTATTGTGGTTGACCACAACCAAAAAGTTGTGGACAACCAACTAAACTGGACAATTATACAAAAAAATAATTACCGAAATATTTAGAAAGAAAAAACAAATAAAAGATTAAAAACGTTTTTGGAGCTTTTATCATTCAATCACAATCAGATAGGCTTCCAAAAACAATAGTGAGTAGCACTTATTAACCAGTTTCTATTTTACAAAAATAGCATTGAGAATAGAATAACCTTCAATTATGTCATTCAACAGATTAGGATACTATTTACAAGGACCTTTCCTAGAAGTCTCAATATTGGGAAAGAGGTCTCATCAGGTAGTATGATATTCTTTCAAAGTAAATTTTAGAATAAAATTTTCATGGTAGGATGTACTGAATTTTCTTAGCAGAAAGCTATGAAATTTATTTTAAAAAACTACTATCGATTAATTAAGTGCTTCTTTTCAAACAACTATAATTGTTTAAAAAGAAGCACTTAATTAATCGATAATAATTTTTTAAAATATATGTATTGTATAGTCAGTTCTACTTCAAGATAATCTTTAGATATTGCATTTGCGATAGAAAAACTTATCATCATCTTCAATTATTTAAAATCATCATGAAAAGTTAATTGAAACACTAATTAAAGTGTTATTAATTTTTTTTTACTCTATCTAGTGAAAAATAGTATACAAATCTACATGCAGAAGAAAATTTACCTTACCCTGATGGTTTATGTCAATTATTAACTAATGAATAATAAATATAATAAGATATAAATAATCGTAAATAATAAAATAATAAGAGTTGCAATTGGATTGATTTCAGCGTTTACTTTGAGTCATTTTAGGATCATTTTATCTAAAATCGACTATGAATAAACCGTTAGAATGTGCGATTTATCAATTATGAGTCAACCATTTATAAACGATTGCTTAAGAGTCAATTATTGATCAATTAAGCTTTTTATTAACTTGTAATAAACGTATTATTTTATTGATTGGCTTAATTGTAGTTCAGAGTTATTTTTTGCAACCGTTGCTTTATATTTTTTTCTCCGTTGGAGAGGGGTTGAACTTTTCACGCAGGTATGACGAAAAATCATATTCAGCCCTAGAGAAGACAATTAGACTACCTTAACCCACGTGTTTACTACCCTCGCCTTTGGCTCGGGTTGTAATTTTACACGTGGTTTGAGCTAGACTACTTTCCCTCCCTAGGTGTGAAATGTACTATTTACTTTGACCATTCATACAAAAAAACCAAGAATAATGACCTTACATCCAGAAATATTTACGGCAAGACCAACCCATGAATAACGTGTCCAGATCTGATTTTATTTATAATTTTTAGACATAAACAGTCTCACAATACTGATCTGATCAGACTTGAACTCTGAATTTCTCAGGTAGAACAAAGGAAAATAATGGGCCTTATCCCTCCCACGGACTTTGGGCGTATTCAATTTTTAGGGCATGCGCACAGTGGAACTAGAGTTGGTGGTGACTACCAGAGAGCGGAGGTCTTCAGTTTACCCGCAGAAGTGTGTAAGGAACGTCTTGCTTAGACCAACTGTCCACGTCTATACTTTCCGATAAAATCGTACAATATTGAGTTACACAATAGTTTGTGTGTTGTGGTAGTGCGAAAAGTTTACAAATAAAAGATCAACTTTTACAGTGACTCTTTTCGGAGTGAATTATACTTCAGAGAAATTATATGTATGTATATTAATGTGTGCTTGTGTTTACTTCTGTGTTGATATATAAAAATTTCTACAAAAATTTCTCAATTTTAGAAAAAATCAACCAACCATGTCACATCGAGGTTTCCTGGGAGATAGAAGTGTCGAGAACAGTTGGATACCGCTTTTTAAATCGTGTAAATCTGGAGATGTTGCAGCAGTTAAATTTCTGTTGGAAAATGGCGCAAATCCAGACGCTACTAATCGGCACGGTCAGACGGCTCTTCACTTCGTTTCGTCATATAAATCTGAAAAAAATCTCCAAATATTACAGTTATTAATAGAACATAACGCAGATATTGAAGCTGTAGATAAGAGAGGTCAGACACCTCTCTTTGAAGCTTGTATCTGTGAAAATGTTGAAGCAGTTGAATGTCTTCTAAAAAATAATGCTAATCCAAATGCTAGAGATGAGAGTGGTTCCACAGTTCTTCACCGTAGTTGTTTAATGGAATCTGAAACAACTTGCCAAATCATCCAGTTATTGCTGAAGTATAATGCAGATGTTAATGCTGTGTGCGATATTGGTCATTCACCACTTTTTGGAGCTTGTCAATTTGGAGGTTTTGCAGTAATTAAAATTCTATTGGAAAATAATGCTGATCCAAATATAGTGGATCAGGATGGTGAAACACCTCTTCACCGCATTGGCTACTATGAATCAAGAACAACTCGCCAAATAATAGAATTATTACTGAAGTATAAGGCAGATGTGGAAGCTGTAAATAAGAGAGGTCAGACACCTCTTTTTGAAGCCTGTAGATCTGGAGATATTGCAGCAGTTGAGTGTTTATTGGAGAATTGTGCTAATCCAAATGTAGCAGATCGGAATGGCCAAACACCTCTTCACCATATTTGTTTACGGGAATGTAAAACAAATCTCCAGATAATGCAATTATTGCTGAAGCATGATGAAAATTTTGAAGCTGTTATAGAGAAGCATGCTATTGTAAATGTAGCAGATAGGGATTATGGAGCAATTCGTCACAATTTATGTTTGAAAGAATGTAGAAAAATTATCCGAATAATAGAGCTATTGGTGAAGCATGATGCTAACATTAAAGCTGTCGATGAGGAAGGTCACACACCTCTTTTTGTAGCTTGTAATTGTCAAAATATTGTAGCAGTCAAAGTTCTTTCAACATATGTTAAAAAATAGCTTTAATTTAATATTTACGTTATAAATAAATATAAATGATCTAAGATAGTTTGTATACAAAATGAATGTAATAAAAATGAATTTATTAATAAACACATAATATCGTAAATGTTGATGCGTTTTTATTTAATAAGTAGAAACTTCTAATAATGTTAAGCTTATATAAATTGTAGGAACAATGTTATTTTCAATGAAACAAAATCATTTACTAAAACAAAGTTACATTTAAGTAATTTATTAATGCAGTTTGACTGTAATTTTAATTTTACAAAGTATTATAATTTTGTATAAGATTTCGCTGACTTCTTAAATGAACCAATAGTTGAATCACAATCACGGGCATGTAGCAAAGAATTTTCAAGATTACCTGATTCTAATGAAAGTGTCGACGATGATAATGAATTCGATGATTTTAATGGATTTTTGTTTATCTTAACACATCCAACATTAATTTAAGAGAATCTATCAGTCAAATAGAATATAAAAACGTAAGTACAGCTTAGTTTCAATTAAATTCAAGTTGAATCAGACATATGGTAAATGTACTAAGCTATAGAAATTTTTTTATCTTGAGATACATTTGTAAATGCAAAAACATAAAACTTAATTAAAGTATGAATATTATGTTAATAATTTTATATTTTAGGCTACGAATAAAATGAAAGACATCATAAGAAATATGTTTGCTGTAGTTATTGAACTTCCGGATATTAATTTAGAACCGTTAATCAATGACACAGATTCTACATCGACATCATTAAAATAAATAGAAGAGACAAATCTCTTACATATCAGTGGAATAATAGTGTTAGTAACAATATCCTTTTATGGCCAATTGGCATCGATTCTAAAAATATTGTCATTCGTAAACTTTCATATTGATCAAAACTTTTCTTTTATACAAATATATATATATTATATGTAGGGTCATTATTCCTGGTTCATATCAGTTTTATATGCCATCAGGAAGGTTTTATTTTAGAAAATATTGATAAGAATTTAGAAGCTCAAGGACCATTTGATCTCCTCCTACACAAACTTACAGATATGTTAGCTTTTGCTAAAAGTGACGATCATAACCTGGTATCTATCTTATCTATCCACCTTTTTTTAATATAAAAAGATACTTCATCATAATGTTTTACATTCGATATTATTGGAGGATCATTTGTTGTTATCAAGGTATTATTTGTTGATTCACTTTGGAAATGGCTTTCAACTAAAGTATAGAGGTTTGATATCTGACAGGGATGTCGTTGAAATTCAAATTCATTAAAAACAACAGTAAATTTGTCTATGCAGTACTGTACAGTTAAACAAAGTGAGTGATGAAATGAATGATTAGATGTATATTATCCAAGCAATGTACATTATGATAACTTTTATCATTATTCATTTCTTAAATTAATTAGTTGAAGTCATACGGAACAATATATCTATTTGTATGGTATGGAATTTTCTTCTAATGTCATCTCGTTCTCAGACAATTTTCCACCGTCATTATTGATGCGTTTTATGTAAGATTGTTATGATTTTAATAATAAAAAAAAAAGAGAAATTATTATGATATAATTTACATTTAATGGCATTTAAACAGCAAAACTATTTACATCGTTTACATTTTCTTATGAAATAAACTTATATTATATGTATACACTAATATTGAGTGCATAATATTCTTGCTATTAAGTCTGCTATGTTTGTTATAGTTTTGTCATCATCCGGGCATTTTTCATGACAATTATAAATTCATGCTACATTTATGATCACGCTTTCAAATTAATAATTATTTCATTAGTTGAGGCCACACGTCACAATATATTCATTTGTATAGTATGGAATTTGTATCAGATAACAGAGTTTTTCAGAATCTTTTTGTACACACAATGAATTTTTTTTTCATTCACTAGAATCATCGCGTTCTGCTTCACGTAGTTTAGTAAAAAATGATGTAAGTGTTTTTATCGCAACTGCATGTCCATTTCTTTCATTTGGATTTTCAGTTTTCCCCCATTCAATGAATGCATCGTCTGACAATACATATTGGTCACACAAATGGTCAATTATTTTAGATAATATGCCTAAAAAACAAAATTCATTCATTTAATCAGATACTGATATTGATCTTAAAAAATATATTAATAGTGAAATAATGAATATATATGCAATCGAGTAAGTAGTTACCTTGTGGATACATTAATTCGTGATTGTACGATTGAATAGCATAAAGACATTGAAGTTCTAGATCACGTTTAGCATCAACATATCTAGTTATTAAAGGTAATAACTTGCAAAACGTTTCTGATTTTAGTCTCCATGATTCGTCAATGGCTTCTAAATATAAACAAAAAAACAACTTTTATAATAAATTGTTATCTAAGAATTGAAGTTTTAAAAACATAAGTCAATTTAATACAAACCAATAGAGGTTTTAAGAATGTCAGTTACAAGGCATCTGACAAATTGAGGTTGTTTTGATTGTTGACCAACATTCAACTGAAAAAAATGCAATATTTTAGTGATTATTAAAATTAGATAACATAGTGATACAAAACCCATTATTTCAACAACTAGTACTTACAGATATCCAACTTGTAATATTGTCAAAATTTTCTTCCTTTAATAATTTCAGAAGATATTCTGATATCTGTTCTAATGTCATCTTGTTCTCAGACAATTTTCCACAATTATTATTGATGCCTTTAACTAAAAATTCTAGGTTGTACTTTTCAAGTAAGTCAACTTTTTCACATTCAGAATTTATCAAATCACTCCATTTGAGTCCACTTTGATTCCAATTATCAATAACCCATTTAGGAGTTTTTTCTTTTGCTAATATTGATAATAATTTACCCAATAGTTTACCACATTTTCCTGTGTTTTTTAAAGTAGCTAACGTCCGAGTTAGTTCAATAAAAGGATGAGCATTCATAGCAACCATTTCCACTGTAAATTCAAAACGAGTTATACCAAGGCAAGTTATTTTCATAATTTTAATAAAAGAGAAGCCCAAAGTTCAACTTACCTAATATTTCAGCAAAATATTCCCAACATTGAGGAATGTCAATGACAAGATCATCTGCGATTTCCAAAAGTTTCTCGAATCTAAAAATTATTATAACAATTAATTATCACGAATTATCTCATTTTTTGATTATTTATTATTTTCTAAATTATTTACTCGGCTTGGAATACGGAAAGAGGAATAATCTCATCCTTTATTAATTGAGCTAGCAAAGTCGAAAATCGTTGTCTTTCCATCTGATTTCTCTCAAGTACAGAATTAAGAGCTTCTTCTATCAATAATGGATAGGACTGTGTATTAAATTTATCTTCAATTGTTTCTTGAGCATTCTGTAAACATTTTACAAATATTGAATAATTACATAATCAATTTTTTTTTAATTGATTATATAATAGAAATTTACATAGACAAAATTATATAGTTACCTTCATAAATAAGTTTACATCACTCGAGCTAGATTCATCAAGAAGTGATTTGACCAGATTTCTTAGTTTCTTTTTATCAACTGGTAGGTTACTGTTTCGATTATCTATCGATGAAGATGATGTTAATGGAGGAGTAGGTGTCCTACTTATCGGCGTAAATGTGGATGATGATAGTGTTGGAGGGGTTGGTGTTCTGCTTGCGAAGACTGGTGAAGGTATTGATAAACTGTCGCGAGTTTGCGTTGGATCTAAACTGACTCGTTGATTCTCACTTCGTGAGCTGGAACCATCTAAGAGAAAAATAATGATTGATGATTAAACATAATGATAGATTGTTTGATCTTCATTATAATAATTGTAAAAGTAATTTTAACTAACGTGTCCACGAGGGTTTAAACTCAGGTCTGAATTCCTTCGGTGGATCAGATGAAGCTATTGATGATCTCCTATGTTTTATAATATTACCAACAGTGGCATATCTATTTGGAGCCACTACAATTGAATTTTTTTCCGCAGTTTGATTGAAAATGAATGAAGATCTACTTCCAAAAGTTGTCTCTTCTGCTGCTGGTGGTTTAACATTTAATTTTGTTGTTTTAATTGATAAATAATCTGATTGCCGATTTCTGTTGTTACGAACACTGTTCCAGCCACCTTCATCAACACTAGAGCTGCTTCTTGCACCTGAGATTAATAAAATTTCATGTTATAGAAAACTTACAGTAATATTAGCAGAGTACAAACTATACGTTCATACAGCAGTTCAATACTTACAGCTTCTTCTTCTATCGTTGTTACTATCACGTTCGTCTTTTCGGGGTGTAATAAATTCTTTATGAGATAGATAAGACTGAGACGATGTTAGTAGCGGTGTGTCGTTGATAATACGTTCAGTTTCGACTTCTTTTTGAATTTGACCCATTGTTTGTGGATTATTTTCTTGTCTTCTAGGTATCCATTTATTATTACGAAGTTCAATGACATCTTGTATCATAAATCGTATTCTCGAACTAAATTTCTGCTTTTTGTTCTTGTGGATTAGCTTTTCTAGACTTTGAAAATATGATGATAATGATATCTTTTTATCTAATATTTTTCCAATTGTTGTCAACAATTTACATAAGCTTTCAAGACTTTCTTCATCGTTACTTTTTAATAAAGTTTCGATACATGTTATCATAATCTTATTATGAATCATTTTTTGTTTATACAGTTCACCAACAAATTTAATATTTCCGAGACATCGTCTTTTAGTTTTACTACGTTCTTCTTCTAGTTCCAATTCTTTTTTCTTTTTATCATCATCCTCATTTAATCCTTCAATTGTTTTAGCTTTCTGATTTTGTTCATATTCAGCGGTTAAATGTTTTTCAAATTCTGTTTGGCAATTTGCAATCACTAATATTCTGAGATTAATTTTTTTCTCCTTTTTTTCATTATCAGGAATACTTTTATCGGACAGTTCTTTACACATTAAAGCATAATAAGTCGAATAGAGTGGTTCGTCTATGGCTTTTTGAAATAAAATATCGATTATCCCTTTTAATTGTTCCAACGAATTAATCTCTAATTGTTTTACTTGTTCAACAAGGTTATCGAATTTTTCCGGAGTTAGTTTGTTTAATATGCTACGCATTTTCTTAAAAAGCACTGTATCTTTATTATTTTCTTCTTTTGAATTTCCTTTTTGTAAGGGTGATGGTTTCCATGCATTTTCCGTTTGACGTAATTTAATATCTTCATTAAGTGATAAACTAACATGAATAATGGTTTGTTTGTGTGGCTTAGATTTCCCTTGGAAGCTTCTTCTATTTGTTGGTGCCTAACATTTGAAATTTATATAAAATTAAAATTACAATTTTTTAAAAAATACTTTTCGTGTGAATTTAAAAAAAAAACATACCACTTTCGTATTGAATGAAGATCTGCTAAAACTGGGGAATAAGAACTCATGACTTCTGTCTCGTGATGATAGAATAACTGATGAATTTTGAGATGGCCGCTGAAAAATAGATACGAATTATAGAATACAGGAGAAATTATTTAAGATAATGGTAATTGCATATTTCAAAAAATACATTAACTTAATTTATTATTCAGTACATGACTGACAAGTTAACTCATTAAAAACTAATATACATTGAAATCAATTTACCTTTTGAACTTTAAGTTCATTATAATTTAATTTACAGTTGTTACAACAATATATTTGACAAGAATTGCATTTTATGGTAAATGGGAATATTTTTCAATTGTTTCTACGAAAGTACAATCTGTTTGAAATACTATTGATGTTAGTAATTCTACTATTTTCTTTGTTAAACAGATGAGTCATAGAATTAGGATCAGCTCTAGCAGCCTGAATCATGAAACCAGGTAGCGCCTGGTTGGGTATTGGGTACATACTCAAGACAGATAAGAACGTTAAACAGATGACACGCACATGCAAGACAATATAGTCAGATTTATTGCAAAGGAATTCTTTGTTTCCATTCAAGACTGTTTATAGAAATACGTCTACTATACAATAGATGAAAGACGGAGGGAAACACTTTGGCCTTACTTATTATTGGCGACATAAGGAAATTACAGAGTCTTATTACTTCCAGACGAAAATTCCAAACTAGTTTAATTATTTTTCTTCTCAATACATACATTAAGGCTTATGACTTTTGGAGTGGCTATTTTTTTATGTTATCAAGTTTTACTTAAGATTGTTAAAATAATACGAAACTCCTAATGATTCATTATTTTTAGTTAGTTTCTTCAATTATCTATGATTCATACATTAACATCTTGTAATAAATATTCAAAAATTAATATAACCCGAATATTCAAAATTAATATAACCCAAATATTTAAAAATTAATATAACCCAAGAAACTTGTAATAAATATTTAAAAATTAATATAACCCAAGAAACCTACGTTATCTCATGCACTTATGTGTTAAAAGAATATATTTATATTTACCTTTATGTTGTGTTTCACAATGTCAACATCGGGTAAATCAGGACAAATCCAGCATTCTTCCTTGTCTTTCATGTCCACTAAAAATTCTCGACTATAAATTTTTCTTTCTGGAACATCACCCAAACTCATCCTTCGATTTTCATATGCTGGAGGTTTAATAAATCGTCGTTTTTCTTCCACTTCAATTTTTTCGGGAACTTCACCATCATTCTGCTTTTCATCATTTTCAATTTCAGCATTACTTGACTGTTCTTCACACTTGTCAACATGTAGTTCAGGAATTTTTTCCATCTGATGAATCACCGTTTGTTCTTCTTCAAGTTCTCTGCAATCAGATTGCTCTTGTTTGATTCTTTCATCCTTTTCTTGTTCTGGTTCAACTTCGGTGTTCATTTCTTGTTCTGTTTCAATTTCAGTGTCACGTTGTAGTTCAGATTCAACGTCGACATCTTTTTGTAGTTCTGATTTGATATCAATATCTTTTCGATGGTCTAGTTCAATATCTGTTTGTTCTTTTTCAATTTCATTATCATGTTGTGATAAATTTTGAACTGTATTAACAATCTGTTGTTCTTGAGATTGATTTGATTCTGCAATTTTCTCAGACACTTCACTAAAAAAGAAGTTGATTCCATTGGCACCACGGATGTAACATTGATCAGGGCCATCATTAATGACACAGGTTTTAGTTGTTTCAAAAGAAAATATATCACCAGGAATTTCAATTGGTCCACTTTTAATATCATTAATATTTATCTTTTGACTAGACAAATCTTCTTCAACATCTTCTTTTTCTAACTTGACTACGTTTTCAAGTGAAGAAGCTTCAATCTTGATATCACATTTTTTAATTTTTGTTTCAATTGGAGCTGAACTTTCTTCATTTGATAATTTTAATTGTTTTGAATCTTGTGGTTGTTGATCATCTACTGAATTTTCTATTTTTATATTAATTTTACTTTCATTACAATCTTCTGGTTCACTTTTTACGTTTGGTTCATTTTTTATATTATTTTGATCACAGACAATTGGTTTTATATTTTCTACTGCTGATTCTTCTTCTTCTTCTTTAATATCAGGAATCACAGTTGAATTGGTTTCTTTGACATCTTGGCTTGATGACTCTATTCGTGCACTTGATGACGTTGACTCTTCTGAACTAGTACTTGAATTTTGTAACTGATTACGATTAAGATCACGATTCTTGGATTTACGTTTGTTTTTCTTCTTTTGTGACTTTCCTATGGACAAAATGAGAATTTTTATTATACATTTATATAATAATTTTTTTATATAAAATAGATATTCATATATATTCTATGATTATTTTTTATAGGGTCTATTCAAAAAGCAAAGAAATCTTTTATTAAATTATAATTGAAGTTGACGATAAAAATTAAAATAAACTTACCATACATTTTTCCCATATTGAAAGCAAATATATAAAGTATTGAGATTAATTATCAAATTCCATTTATAAAAATGGTCAAAAAGCTATTTTTAATGAAATGCCATTTTTTTTATAAAAACTTAAAAATTTTAATTGATTAACTTTAGGTAGTATGTAAACAATTGTAGAAAAATTTTCTAATTGTGTATAATTACAACGGTTAGGATCACACATAAAGAGGTTAGACTATGTCTGTGTTTGTTTTCACATTTATACATTCAAATTGACTGATCATTCGATTGATCTGAATACGTGAATTCGCAACTATTAAAACGAACCTACAGATGGCGAAATAGTTCAATTCAATAACAGATATTTTTATTAATATATAGATATATATATATATATATTTTTTTTTATTTATTTATATATTTATTTTAATGTTTTTAATCAATTGTAGAAAGTTCACGATTTTATTTAATGTAAATTTATAATCTGACTAAAAGATTGAAGTAATTGATTTTTAATGTCTATCCACTACCTGATTTTATGTATTAGCCGGCTATTTTGTTCATGAAGTAAATAAAAAAGAATGATATTTATTTACTTACCACTGTTGTTTTTTGATGATCCTACAGTTTTAGGTGAAACAGCAACTTCTTCTTTCTTTTCTTCTGGCTTTATTGGCTCTTCCGAAGTTTTGTCTGATTCATTTTCATGATGACAGGATTGTTCATTATTTTGGTCATCAGTTTGTGATTGAGAACAATGCTCTTCAGGTACCGAAGTTAATGGATCATTATTACTTTGAATCTCCAATGTTTCAATACATTTACTCTCCTCTACAGTTTTCACATTATTATCACCTCCAATAGTTGAAGAAACGTCTGGATTTTCAGGATTACTACTGATATGACTTGAAGATTTATCAGGTGAATTTAATCTTGAACTAGTTGATACAGGTACTGGTGATAGGCTTTCAGAATGAGAAGACGTCGTTGTTGAGAGAGTTGACGAAGGACTGATTGTTATACTCAATTTTGGGAAAACCTTCGGTGGTTTATTACGCTGTAATGATTCATTGAAATATAATTATTAAAGACATGAAGATTTTTTTTTATTAAATTTGAGTTTGATTATTATTTTTAAGAGTCTATTAGTTTTAAATTTTAATCCAAGTAAAAGAAAATACAATTTTTATATATTTATGCAATCAGTTGGTTTAAATTGTCATTGAAATTACTTACTTGTATAGGATTTGGATGAGTAATACTGATTATGCTCGGTTTTTCATTCTTAACTGGGGGAGATGTAGCTGCACTTCGGTATATGTCCTCAGCGACATTCCTACCAGTTGCTGGATCAATTATATTCATCAATGCATTTGGTCTCGTTTTTAGTTTTTTGTATGTATTATTGGCACTATTGTTGTTTTGTACTGGCATGATTGGTGGACTAATGGTATGACTAGGATGAGTCACTGTAAATAACAAAAAATTGTAATGTTTCTTGATTTTTAAGCTAATTTTTGCATAATTTTTTTAATATTAATTTACCTTGCAATGGTACATTATTTTCTCCACAAACATTTTGATGGATGGGGGGGTTTGGCACTTGATTCGGTGGTGGAAGACAAACTAAGTAAAAAATATTATATTTATAAAATAAAATTTCAGAAATATGCTACAAAGAAATAATAAACAATTAACTCACATGGTGTCATTTGCGGATGATGCGATCCCTGAAAAGGAATAATATTATGTGGTACAAGTATGGGTGTTTGATAACCAGCAAAATATTGGTGAGGAGCCGGTTGCGAAGGAAACTGAAAAAAATGTTTCAATTAATAACCTAATCAATACGCGAACCATGACAAAAAATCTGTATTAAAAATATGAATTTAACCTTAAAAATGATTATAATACTTACAGGTATTTGTGGAATTGGATTGTTTACAGTATACATAGGCATTGATTGCTGATTATGATCATGATTAAGGTGGACATTAGATGAAGAAAATGGAGGAAATACAATTGCCTGTCCAGCATTTCCCGGCTCAGTCGGAATTCCAACGACATGGGTTGGACCATTGTTCTGATGATTATTCCGATTGATGACATTTCTTGGTTGTGCGTGTCTAGGTACTCTTCCATGATACAAACCCTATGTAAGCAACAGTAATATTTCAAATATTTTTACCTATGTTGAAACTGCTTCAAACGCAGTAAATAATGATTCTAATAAAAAAAAAAACAAAACTATTTTACCTGCGTAACATTTCTTGCGTGATTTGTGAGATAATTTTGATGTGAAGCCGGTCTTATTTGGTGATTAGGTCTGGCCATTTTCAAATGTGTGGATGCCCGGTTTGATAAACAATTTTTTTCCACACACGATAGTTTTATGACAGTACCACATACACAAACTTTAGATCTTGTTCACAACACACGAATAATACATAAAATTCACAACACTTTTAAATAAATAAATTATTTTTAATGACAATATAATTAAATCGAACGACACGAAACAGACACACACAATTCAACTAGTGGTATATGTGCATAACTGAAGTGAAAAGTGTCGAGTGTGATAAACGTTGCCCTCGGACATGAATTTTGAACTTTCAACGCCACTCCGTGAGAAAATTGTGAACTAAGCGCTTGATGATTTGATTCGTCGGAGGGTTGGACTATAGAAATACATCCCCGCCCATTCACTTTCAGCCGTCGAAGTTGAGTGTCACATGCGCAATACCATGACAAAAACACGTGGTTTGAAAGGATTACCAATTTCACAGCAAGATCAGATAATAAGATAAATAATGATATATTAAGGTACTTAAGATGTATGTTTGAAAATACATCTTGATTTTAATTCATTATAGAATTCAAAGATACAAAATAATATTACTTTGTAATATAGGAATAACAGTCGAACTGTATTGAAGAATAACTCAAATGTACAAAAAGTATTTTCTCTTTTTGTTTGAATATTCAATTTGTTTGACAACTATGTAAATACTCTCTTTATTCTTGTTATCAGAAAAATAAAACATTTATTGAAATTAAAATGAATTATTAACTCCCCACACGGAGAAAAAGGAATTGTAAACTTTACTCCAAAAAATAGTAGTCTGTCGGTTCGGGTACAAAATTGGCAATAAGCAATTGTTTGATTAGTATACAATACAACTTTTTCTTGTGAAAATTTTATTACGAATCAAAATTTCAAATTATACAAAAATAAATATCAAATATTACAATTTGAATGTGTAATAAAAATTTTACAAGAAAAACTTGTAATGTTTACTAATCAAACAATTGCTTATTGCCAATTTTGTACCCGAAGCGACAGACTACTATTTTTTGGAGTAAAGTTTACAATTCCTTTTTCTCCGTGCATTAGGAAGTTATTGTAATTGGGTCGATTGGTGAAATTTGAATTTTCATTAAATCTCCACGTTTCAAGATATTTGCAAGCATACTGACATATTTTTAGAATGATGTGTGTGTGTGTATGTATGTATGTATGTATGTATGTAAAATTAATTCAAAAGATATTATTATAAAGAAGATCTGAAAGAAATTTGAACGAATTCGATAGAACCGTTCTTTTCTTATAACAAAACAACTAATAAAAAAATGAAAAGATTAGCTATTTAAAATACTTTTAAGCCAAACAATAACAATTTCATTTGAAAATTAAGTCAATATTGACTAGACATTATTGTTCACAACCAAATATGACTCTTAACAATTACGTATTGTTTATAACAATACGAATTTGTTATAAACAATTAAAAATTGTTTTTATTGAATAAGTAATGTGTATATCACATGTATTTGGATGTTTTCAACAAACATTGATTACAACTATTTAAATTTGTTATAAACAATTGCTAATGGGAAGTTCGTCGTGTTAGCACAGACAAAGTGTGCTCAGACTCATTTTTTTCTCTTAGGTAAGAGAGCGCAGTGTCCGAAGCGTACCTATGGGTCAACAACGTGCTTCTAGATCATCTCTGAGTGCTGGAACACCAGATAGTTTGAGTGATAATAAAAGTTTATTCAAACTTTCAGGATGAAAAACTAGTACTCCTTAAATTTATCTGTTACCGAATTGAACTATTTCGTCATCTGTAGGTTCGTTTTAATAGTTGCGAATTTACGTATTCAGATCAATCGAAAGATCAGTCAATTTGAATGTATAAATGTGAAAACAAACACAGACATGGTCTAACCCCTTTATGTGTGGTCCTAACCATTGTAACTATACACAATTAGAAAATTTTTCTACAATTGCGATCTGGGTTTGGAAACTATTCCTTATTCAAGAATTAGTTTCTTATGCCGAGAAACCTTAATGTTTAGGGGAACGGACTAATATTTATTTAAAACAGAAAATGATTTGAATAATATTAATATAAATCACGGGATAGTTTTACTCAATTATATCACAACCTAAGCCCAAGAAAATTGAATTTCTTTATACAAACAACTCAATTTTGAATCAAACGATCTGTGTTTTATACAAAAAAATCTGTCAAACCCCGCAGGCGTTTGACTCCCATTTTTAACAGATTCCCATTTTTTATTTATATATGAATATTAACATTAGGGATCATATCTGTTGATTAAATACAAGAAATTTTGCGAATGTACGATAGAGAATGAGATTACTTATTCTTGATGTTTTATATTGCAATACGAAAATTGGAAAGAGGGTTTCTATCCTAGATATATTCATTAATTATAAATAATTCAAAACTTTTTCACCCAATTCTTTTTTTCCAATCAAAACTCTATCGTTCAATAACTACAAAATATTTATGTTCTTCAATAAATTATTGTTACTAAGATTATTATCAATTTAATAAATTATTAAATAATTTAATTACATAATCCATCTTTTCTCTTAAAAAAAAAAAATAATACAACCTAATAACTTCTAATACTTCACTATCATAATTTATTTCCGTTTTGGGAGGAATTTACATAATTAATTGATACAGTAACCTTAAAATTAATTGTCTAAAAACATGTGGACTAATCGGGAGAAGAAAACAAGTAAGTATCTGGCCACTACATTATGAAAAATTTTTAATTGAAATTATCAATATTTTTTCCTAACAAAATATTTAAAACAAAACGTCCTTTTTTTTAATCTTTTGATCAAGTTAGATGAATATAAACAACAGAAACTGCAATAAAGCTTTATTTGAAATAAAACAAACAACACTGAAATTTTTTCTTAATTTGAAAATCTATGAGATGAATTTATGTTTTATTTATAAAAAAAATTCTAATGTACCGAAAATCATTATCAACAATTAAAAAATTTCTATGGTATTAAAAAGTATATAACCATTTAAATCAGGGTCAGAGACCCACAGAACCATTACGAAAATTTTATTTATAGTTTTTGACTTCCCATGAGGAAGTTATTGTAATGGGGTTGATTGGTGAAATTTGGATTTTCATCATATCTCCAAATTTAAAGATATTTGCAATTGCATACTGACCACTATTGGAAATGATATGTGTGTGTACGTACGTACGTATATGTAATTCAATACTGTACGATTTTATCAAAAAATGTAGACGCAAACAGTTGGTCTCCACCAACTTTAATTTCATCGTGCGCATGCCCTAAAAATTGAATACGCCGAAAGCTCACAGGAGGGATAAGACTCTTCATTCTTCCTCGTTCTACAGTACCGGACATAAATGCTGTTCAATTTTTTGAAGGTTATACATGCAATTTCCCTGTACTGTCTTATAGAAAATCACACAGCATTTATGTCCGGTACTGTAGCTACAACTTTCGATACGTCTTAAAAAATGGTATCATATTAATGACAAGCGAAATACGTAGTATTGTTAATTTTAACAATGACGATAATCTGAAAATTTCAATTATATTATTGAGACAAAATTTTATATGTATATTCATGTAATTTAAAACAACACGGAGAAAAATCAGTTAGTAAAGTTGACCGTGGAATGATTAAAGAAATTAGTTAAAATATTTATCTAAAAATTTGCATGAGTTGATAGATGCAAGAAGTCGAATAAAAAAATGTACGTGAGTTATTGAAATTTAGGTAACAATCAGATTTTATCCGAAAGCAGTTGAAGGACATTAGAAATTTATAGGATTAAAAAAAAAAGAAGAAAAATACTAGAGAATTGCTTGAATATTCTGGAGAATTGGCAATTGCAAATGTGTAGTATGATTAATTTGATTTGTGGTATAGCGGAGGAGTTTATGAACCAGCTGATGCCGATATTTGAGAGTTTGAGGCAAAAGGAGGACCTTCCGTGCTCGTGTCCTCTTCACATGCACACCCCCTCTTACCACTAGCTAAATAATTCAATTCATTAAAAAGAACGGAGTAGTAGTGTGTAATGAAGAGTGAAAGTTTAAGAAATGAGAGTGTGTGATAAAGAGTGGAAGTGTAAGGAGTAGAAGTGTGAGTTGCGAATTAAAAGACATAATTACTAAATTTTTTTTTATCATTTTTCTTGAATATTTATTCGCGTCAAATTTAGATTTTATACATATTTTTAAATATTATACAATTATATATTAAAATTTTTTCTAATTGCTTCGCGCACGTCGGTATCGGTCGCATAATCTACAGGTGTCCGTCTCTAATGTAAATGTTGGCCCCATGAGACTTTAATGCAGCAATGGTGGATTTCAAATTTCGTGGATTCAGGATGCACATACAGGGCGTGTAGGGGTGTTTGCCCATTATCGTAGCTCCGTTTTCAAAACCAATGGTACTGGAACCTAAAAAAACTATGAACTTTAGAAAGCAGATTCAATCAATACATGCAAGTTACTGTTACTCGTAAAATTCAAAAAATCATTAAAATTAAAGTCATAGACCCTTATAACGATTATCGAAATTTTGATTATATTTTTTTTACAATACAATTGAGTCTGAAGAATCTAATGAGACCACTTTTATCCATCAGTCAATTTAGAGAAGAATTATTTTAAACCGTAATAACATGAAAAATCAACATTTTTATATAATTTTTTTTCAATTTGTTTTTTTTTTTTTTGTTTAAATTATAAAAAAAAATTCAATCTTCATTCAATTACTTGTAAAAACGTGATCAACAATTATACGTGGATGAGTGCGTTTACATGAGAATTTGGAGCTCTGAAACTAATAAAAGTTTTCATTTTTATATTCCCGTAATTTTCTCTGTTAATGTACAGTAAAAATGATGATTGAAAAAAATCACACTGAAAACTTATGATTTTTCGATTTTCTACAGCCAAAAAGCGAGATGACTGCAATAGTACAACATTACCGACTTAAAAAATTGTAGACTACACAAAAAATTTCTTCTGCAGTCGGTAACTACTCAGAAGGTATAGACCGGGCTCAATAGATAACAATTCAGGCAATAATCTTGAATAAAATTTTAAAACAATATTTGATATTACACAGTCTGTTGACACACAGAAGTATTGAAGATTTAGAACGAAAACAATTAATAAATAATTATAATTATTTATATTATACAGTTATAATTAATAATTACTTTTTTATTTCTATAAAAAACAAAAAATGACTATTTCTTGTATAATTAGAAAATTTAGATTAAACAATTTTTAAGTGGGGATAGTCTCTATTGTTAAAGGGAATACCTAAAGGGTGTTCAATCATGGAATATTTGAATTACTTCAGGTGCAGAATCTCTATTGAAAAAAAAACTACTTCATCGATAATGGCGTCTGTTTCCTTTCTGCAGCAGCATCTGACGCTGATCTTACGTTATCAGGAAACCAAAAGACAGCAACACACGTAAGTCTAACGGAAGTCTGTTTCCGAATGGCTACAAGGAATGTACCATATAATTGGGAAAGAAAGTCATGTTCCTGCTGTAAAATGAGTTAGGATAGGGCGAGCTCGCTGGAACTCGAGCGAAGACAAGAACTGTCTATTTTAACAGGTTGTAGTTAGGTTCTCACAACACAAGTAGAAGTACTATCCTTCGACAAATTTATTATGTTTCATTTTCTTCCATCACCAGGGCACCGGAAAGAGTAACACAGTATTACATTACATTGATATAAATATGTTTTACGCTATGTTTTTTTATTTTCTTTTTTGACTCATGCTATCTTCAAAAAGAGATGCTTCGATGTAAATAGTATTTTTAATTTCATTTATATTCATGTAAGAATTGTTAACAACTTTTAGAAAATTGTTTCATATTGACCTTCGTCGTACAATAAATATACAAGGTAATATCGAAAATTTTATCGAAATAATACACAATAGAAGTTCAAAAATCGGAATAAATTTAATGTATGCTTGGCATCAGTCAAATATTTTTATGGAACGTTTGTGCTGTGTTTTTGTAATGAATATTCTCGGATTAAGAGAAAAATGAAAGGATATATTTTAATGCCAGGATATCAAAAACATTATCAGAACTTTTCGAAGTATACTTAGTTTTCCTATACATATCAGGTGTCAGAAATTATTAATAATTCCTAGAGAAGAATTTTCGATTTGTATTGTAAAAATTACTTTATTTCAATAATTTAATAATTATTCATTTCAAATTAAGTAAAAGAAAAAATGTACGTAAGTGTAAATAAATGTGAATAATAAATACGTGAAATTCAGTAAATTCATCTTAATTCAAATTATACAAAACTTTAGAAATTAGTTTGAATATAACATTTTTAATTTTTTAATTATCATCTAAAAAGTTAAAACTACATTTTTGTAGAATAATGTTAAGTTTTTAGTACATAATATTCTATAATAATATTATTTGGAATTACAATGATACGATTTACATTCAATTATCAGCCATATCGAACAATACGTAACGAAAGATCGTTGTAGCTTGCAATATTTTACTTCTCATAAATTTCATGCAAATCTATGTGTAACACGGAATGTATTTTTATTAATGATTTTATTTAAATGTAAATTAAAGCTTCAGTTGAACTGAGGACAGCACAAAGCACTGAATACTATTTCAATAAGACATTTTTATATTATGGTATAAAGTACTAGATGATTCTTTTAGTAAATACACACTTGATAAAATGTAACATTTAAATCTTAAAAACTAGATTTTGATAAAATAGAAATATTATTATTTGTCGTAATAAATTAAGATAGTGATTATTTATTAATTGTCTATTATTATCGCTTTGGTATACAGACTGGTATACTGTAATTTGTGATATGTTCTCAAAGATTTGACACTATAATAATTGATAAAATATCACTCTTCGAGCAGATAAATTAATAATTCATACACAGCAATTTAATTTTGATTGTATTATTTCGAAATTGAATTAAATAAAAATGGAAGTATAATTTTCATTATAATACAATATTTCCGTTGTTTTATGTACATTCACTTATTTACCATTAGGCCGCGGCTACTTGACTGTGTTTAAAATACAATTTGTTATAATCTTGTTTATTATTAAATTTTAAATTCTCAATCATAGAACTAAAACAGTGCAATATTCACAAAAAATATTATTAGAAATTCCATATTTTTTTTTAAATTCAAATAATACAGTATATAATATAAAAAATCCCTTAATTTTCACGGTTCTTTTTTTAATAAAATATTATGTATATAAAAATTACGATCGAATTGTTTATATAGTCGATAAAAAACATTATTCTATTCATTTAACATTAGTTGGCCAGTACGAGAAACATAGATCACGAATAGGATCCATACATTTTACAGTTGATATTTTTATTTTTATTTGGACTTTTATTAGAGCGTATGATGTGGATTTATGTTTACGACTTGAAGTATTGCAAGCTTATAATGATTCTCAAGAGAACCGAGAAAATTTATTGATATTTTCGGTCAAGACGTCCAGCGTCATGTTGGACGAATCCAGCGTCCTATAATTTGATTTGACATATAAATATATATGTATATATATGTATGTATTTTTTTTTTTTAAATCATTCTGAACATTTATATATTATAGCACTACTTTATTATAGTTTTAATTTCATCATAAATTATCAAATCACGGCATTGCAAACGACGTCAGCATTAATATTATGCTATGTCGTTCTTACTAGAAAGAAGTTAATAAATGGAAATATAGAGTTTTTTATATTTATTATTATAAAGTTATAGAATTAAAGATTGTCCTGTTAACATTATAATAAGACTTAATGTAAAGTAGAATTACATCAATGGATTATAATTTCAGTGATACATCTGTACTTACTTTATGAAACATTTTCTGCAATTTTATTAAATTATTCTCTTATGCTTCAGTAATATATCAATATTAAATATAATTTTTAAATAGATATGTTTGATTCTTTTTCAATAAATTATATTTAAGTGTCAATTTATATAACAGATATTTTATAGTACATGAAGGTTCTCACAGCTTTTACTTTTGCTATCATTCATACACATTTTGTTTAAAATTTCACGAGCAAGATTAAGGCTAAGGGCAGTTTTACTACCATGTATTTTAGAGAGTATTTTATTTTTACTTCCTTGTCGGCGCAATTTTTTATCTCGTACCTCACGTAATCGTATTTGCTTAAGAATTCCAACTAGTAGCTCATCAACATTATGTTGGATCCCACTTGATGTTTCGATAAATTTGCATTCTCGTGATGTGGCCAATTGTTTTCCCTCTTTAATAAAAAGTATTCCATTATTATTGAATTTTCTTTAAAAGATAATAATAAATATGAGTGTAGACGTACCATTCGACGAGATTGTTCGACTTCTTTCAAGATCAGATTTGTTGCCAACTACGATGACAGATCGGTCTTGCGTATAGTGTTCTCGCCAAAGATAATTAAGCATTTCTTCAGCAACTTGAAAGCTTGCTCGTGAAACTATTGAATAAATTACGACACAGGCATGTGGCTCATAAGTTGATAAAGAGTTTTCAACCTGTAATGTTGACATATATTAGTTTATCTGTCTAGTACATCATTAGTTTCATCATTATTTCAGTTTTATTAGAATAATAAGTACTATTTTTAAATTAGTGCTAATTCAAGTTTAAATTAGGTAATATTTTTTAGTCAAGCTTTATTTTTCACAATTTATTGAAGCTTAATTGGCTTGATTCATACTACATTTTATTCTGTATGTATAGATATTATTTCTAACATTTGTATACTCAAACAAAAACACTTTAGTTTTTAAAGATGAAGAAATATGTAAACTTATTTTACATATTCCTTTGTATGTAAAGATACAAATAAAAATACAGTGGATAAATTGATTCTTCTTTGATAATATAAAATAAATGTAACGATTCAATTTATTCTTTACTTCTGTCTATGCATTTTCTTGAATTCCATTTTATTCTTCTCTCTAAACTATTTTATGAATATATGTGAAATTTTTTATCTTTTAAAAATGATTGAACTTAGTTTAATGTAATATTAAAAAAACAACATACACTCATTTCTATATGAGGGTGATCGATAAATATCATTTCAGACTCTTCGCCATCAAGTAAAATGGAGACTGTTTTTTCGCCAAACTCATCATCTGAAAAAATACAAAAAACATTCAATATATCTATATATTTTAATTTTTTTTTTTTAATAATAACATATAATTCTACATTGAATATTTTTCCACATATGTGTATCTTTACATATCATATTCTAATTTAAATTGTGATATCTCAAAATAGGTCAACAACATCCATGTACAGAAAAGTAATTTTTTTACGTATGAAAGAAAAGTTTATAAATATTGAAAATAATATTTGAAAACTTGTATTCACTTAAAAGGTCATTTTTAGTTTGAAGTTGACTGCAAGATGGAGATTGATGGTAAATTAAGTTTTCTAATAAGAAAAATACAATAGTAAACTAGAAAAAATAATAATAATAGTTAATGAAATTAATTATCGAATGATGTTATCAATAAAAGTAAAACAATTTAGAAAATTATTTTGTAAATAAAACTTATCATTTTTAATGGATCAGCAGTTGCAGTAAAATTCACATGTTTTGATATCAATCGCCGTAACTACTTTATTTAGTATTAAAGTGAACATAGATTTTCCATTACCGCGCGATGTGTACACTAACTGGACACATCTGTGTGCTTTGTAGTTGATGAAAAGGGGTCGAACTGTTTCAGTAGTACGTGCGCACAATATTATACAGGATGGAAAAGCTTCCTTTGTAACCGCGAGTCTGGTAGTTGTTATCTAAATTTCAATTTTAATAATATTAACAATATGTTGAAGCTTTAAAGAAATCGACTACAGGTAAATATGATATATCCTCAGTAATTAATATCCTGTCTTTGTAAAAGTATAAAAAAAGCTGACATGCAATTAAAATTATAATTATAATGAATGTAATATAAATTGTTTCAGTGCCATGGAAATGTCAGCAGCTGCGTAACCAATTCAATGCAATTTAGTTCTAGGTAATTTCACTGAAAAATGTGAGTCTTTAAAGGTCATAATTTAGCTAATTTAGAAGCTAATTATATATGTTCAATTGACGTTAGAAATATATCACAGGATTCTAATTATATGTTGAAAGAGCTTGCATGGACCAATATAGATTGAATTATATCATTCTCATGAATGAAATTAAACTTCATTATTTGTCCAATCAGTTTCTCTCATAAATTTTTTTTTCCTACTTCAGTTATTGATTTTTCTACAATCGAATAAAAATAACTCAAATTTTTTCTTCACATCACTGTATTTGCTGTAAAAAGTGACATATTACATTATGGTGTATCACTTTTAGTAGTATACACTTGGATAAATCTTAGTGGGATAAAATTACTAGCAGTCAACTTCAAACTAAAGATTAGCTTTTACGAGTTTTGATGATAACTTTGAGACTAAAAAATAAATTGTGGGTAACTTTACCTTGACATGTTTAATTTCTGGTAAATTTTTCAATTATTCAAATGAGTTATGAATAAATCTATGAAATTGTGAATAACTTAGAGGAATTGTTGAATTTTAATTTTCAACTGAATTAAACAATTTAAATAAATCTTTAATCCAATATTTTCCATCATAGTCATTTTTAAATATAAAGTTTTGAGAATTTTTGAATAAAATCATTCAACTGCATTACAAAGTTACTGATTTAGTACTTTGAATGTAAAAATAAAGTTAAAAAATAAAAATACATTCTTTTGTACTAACTATTGTTCTAACAAACTACTCATATAATGTGCTACGTTTCTTCTATTATATATGCTTTTCGTGCTTTTATCAAAGTAAAATGTGATATATTTTTATTTCAAAATGAATAAAAGCTAGTAGAATTGTTTTATAAATCTAAAAAGTTATTAAAATGTGGTAATTGCTAAAACATACACAAATTGGATTAAATTAAACTTTTAAAGATGAAAAAATAAGATTTGTTTGTATAGAAAATTACTTTGTCGATTTCAAAAGAGTAAATGAAAATAGTGTTTTATTTATCTTGAATGTAGAGCAACAAACATGATTGTTTCATAAAAAAAAATTATCAGATTATGTCTTTATAAGATAGAGTTGAAGAGTCATCTGAAGAGAATTAATTTTTCAGAATAATACATTCATATTGATTAGAACTAGTTTAACATGCATAAATCATCTTTTCCATGCATAAAATTGAATCTGTTAGAATTATTTGAAAAAAAAAATTGTTTGAATACGAAAAAAAAAATTTAACTAACACTAATTTAATGAGAAAAAAATATTTCAATGTAATTTGAATTTTCTAATAACTTTCAAATATTTTTTTTATTAATTTTTTCTTTTACCTTTACCTGATAGCAATAGTGAATGCATATTCCAAACAAAAAGCAGCAGAAATAGAATTTTTGTCAGTTTTAAAAACATTTCTAGGTAATTTTTAAAAGGGTATATGATATGTCATTGAATTTTTATCCAATATTATTTTATAAATAAACACTACAATCAAAATATTTGAGAGTAACGAATATACTTTGGTGTAACTTAAAACTGACCAAGCATCAGAAAATTTCAATGTAGAATTTTTAATAATATTTAAATATTATTTAATTATAAAACTCTTCTTAAACATTTTCATTCTTGTTCATAAGCTTCAAAGTACATTCATATGACTCTTTATATTTGATAGCTGTTAATAAGTCACTATTCATCTGAGAATTGAATGATGTATTCAGGTGATAGTTGAAAATATTTCTTCAACTTCTATAGAATGAAACTCACATGTCTATGATTTGAATAACGTTTTTACAAATTGAAATTTGAATTTTAAAAATTTTGTTTAAATACTTTTATACATTTTTATGCTTTAAATATTGATTTAAAAAAGAAAAAGAATAACTCGACATTTTTTTATGATATACATAAAAGTCAGTATGATTTTATGACACTCATTCCATGATAAAAATTTGCAGTGCAATATAACTGAAATATTCGTACAATAAAATTTTTTATCAATACATAATCGATATGACCTCTGTTTTGAATAACATTTTCTACAATGTGGTCTTTTGCTATCTCATTCGTCCTTTATTTTTTTCTCCCTCCATTAGATAGCAATGAATAGGTGGACTATTTCAAACAGGAGATCGAATGCAGACTGCACACATATATCGAGTGAATCAGAGTCAGAACAGCTACATACGTTATTTGGGTAGATATGCATTGAGGCAAGAAATTGTAGACTTGCAATTGTATAGAAAATCTTTCCACCACGTAAATATATATTTATTTGATAATAATTTGCATATAATTACGAAATATAATCATCATTTGATTTTAATTTTTAAAATTAACATGATTGATCAATGCTAATCATGGGAAATACGAGAATTTTAGATGATTTTTATGGACCCAATTTATCCTGAATGATTACAAAAATATTATGTAATAAAAATCATCGTGATTGATTGAAAAATAAATACCTCACATGGTTGTTCAAACACATTTTTACTGGCATTTAAAATTGGATTAAATTAGTGAGATTCAATTTGAGCTGCTTGTTAGTGGGATTATATTTGTATAATGATTCAGATATTTATGATAGAATAAATCAATCATTATTATATAATTTTATAAATTGTTGAAATTTATTTAAATTAATTATCATCTGACTAATGAAGTTTATTGAAAAAAATTATCCCAATGTAGACATAGAATCATAATGAAAAATATGTCGATATTATCAACATAGTTGATTGTGAACTAATTTAAAAAGTATTATTAATTAAAATGTAATTCATTGATTATTTAATAAGCAGATGAGTTTAATTAAACTCTGTATGAAAACTTTGATTTCATTATTTACTTCCTTTCAGATATAAATATTTGGTTATGTGAGTTGCTGATTAGTATATTGATCATGTTTTTTATATATACGTTCTTGTAAAATAAAACGTAAAAGTTTCTAAAACTTATTTACCAACTTTGACTCATTGAAATACGTTAATTACATACTTTTAAAACCTATTCCGCAAGCTTTTGATGAAAAAAAAATTTATCTCAAAGCTGAATGTCGAAAAATAAGGAAAGAAAACTGAGAAAAAAAGCTCTTTGACGATAAATAAAAATGGTTAAGACTTCTCTTTGAAAAATGTAAATTTAAAAATAAATATGTAAAGTTGAAAAAATAACTAAATGAATTTATATTTATAAGAAAAGCTTCAAGTTTCTAAACTTACCCAAACTTGCATCATAAGTGTTCATATATTCACTAGTCATAAACTGTGAAACTAATGCTGTTTTTCCTACACCTGAGTCACCTAAGAGGACGACACGATATTTTGGAACTTCTTCTACTTCACTTTCAGTGCTATCACCAACGACTCCTTGACCACTGCAACATGATCCTTCAAATGGTGATCGCTCTCCTGATACATTGCTATTTCTGTCAACAAAAAAAAAATATATTCCATTTAATACTGCATATAGCTATTTAAATGACTATTTATTTAATATTTAATTATCACTATAAACTAGTTTTGGTGTAATAATTATTATTGTATTGATCATATGTGATATATTCAATATATTTGATGTTCACTGATGTGGAAAATCCAACAGTCGTAGAAAAAAGTACAACTATAAAATCGATAAAAAAGAATTTGGTTTCTACTTGAGGTTTTTTTCATCTTTTTTCCAAACGATTTAAACGAATCTTATATATTCGGAAGCGATGCTAACAAATTTAGTCAGGGGATTTGATTTTTTGTTTTTTAGCTTCTTATAGCTTCACTTTCAATTCCACTACATTGAATATGAAAAGATTACACTGTTGGTACATTTCACATCCGAAAGAATTTTTTAATTCGATCAGTTCTTCATGATGGTTTTGTTTAATCTAATTTTTTATCAGAAATTTTAAATTAATTTCTTTGTCAAAAGTGAAAACCCTTTTCATTCCTTTTTCCCTTTCATTGAATAGATTAAATCCTTTTATGATTTTACAGATTTTCATTTCAATCTGAACAAGATAGGAGGAAAATTTGATTTCAATTATAAAAATCCGATCGAGTGTAACTAGTATTGTCTGTCGTTGAAGGTTCACTTATCTTAGCTTACAATCCACACTTTTAATTTTTTATTTAATTAACTATTCATCATTGTTACTAAAGTAAATAATATTATCTTTATATCCTTGACCTTTTCTCCTTATATTTTAGTTTCATTGGTAATGGAACAATCATTGAGAGCCATAAAGTTTAGTTTTTCATATGTTAACATAAAAACTTTATCAGTTTATTCAAATATTAATAGTCATCTCAGGAGCTTTAATATTTTTTTAATTATTATACAGATTAAAAAAAAAAATACAGGTTATTGTATAGTTACATATGTTTCTGTTTCTTTTCAGACTCGTGAAAAATTCTATTAGCAAGGTTTGAGACGATTAAAAGATGATGTATGAATAGACCAACAGATAAGAGTTTAAAGAAAAGTCAGTCGTGTAATCTACCAAGTAATAAAGCAAATGAGTTTTGATTGCAATATTCTAAGTCAGATACCACCAATATTCTGTCTAAAACTTCTTCGATCATCTTGTCTAGATTAATTTTGGTTCTTCAGGTTTAGAGTTCATTAGAAAGACTTATCATTCAATCAAGAATGCCTTGGTCTTTTGTTGAATGATAAATGACTTTTAGATTGGACGAAGGAACTTGGAAGATAATCAGTTCACTTACACACTCAAACATAAAGCTAGAGAAGTGTTTACAGTAAAAATAGATCAGCAGCTTAAAGTCTCTGTAAAAAAACAAAAAATTAAGAATGTTTGGATACATACTTCAATTTTTTATGATACTTAAAATTAAATATTAAATCATAATGACCAGTTGAACATTTATTTTATTAATTATAAGAATAAATTATTTTAATGAATCTAATTGATGTTTTTTAAAAATTTCATTAAAAAAAAAATTTCATTTAGTAAATAAAATATCAGTGGTAGCAATTTACCTTCACCATTTTCAACCCCAATTTTACCTACAATTTTACATTAGTGGGTTCATAAATGATGTAATAAAAAAGTTAACTGAAAAATAATGATAATAAAACAATTGAATAGCTGTGTTGAGTGCTTTCAAGTTGATTTTAACCGGTTATTTTCTTTATATTACCTATAAAATGGAGTCACTTTGAAAAATTAAATTGCAGAAAAAGAACATAAAAATAAATAAGCTCTTAAGAGTATCTCACTTGAGTTGATATCGCGTTAGACGTACATCCGCGTGAAATTGTGTTTTACATAGATCCCCTAAATTCGTAAGGATGCTATTAATAGTGTATGCAAAGAGAATACTACAATTTCTTGATGAAAATCGGATTTTACAAACATTCATTACATTACATTATTTCAGTCAATTTCAACCAAATTTCATTGTTTTATTTCTCTGGTTTCATTTTACCTATTGAAATAATGAATATTTGAAATACTGATATCCATTAAAATATTAATATTTGATTATCACAATAATAAATATTTATTGAACAAACATTTAATGAACACAATTAAATCGATTTCAACATTTACTACTGTAATATTGTGTCATATTGATTTAATTATACAGTCATCAGAAATTATTTATCAACAAAAAGCTATTGAATACTTATTACTAATATTTATAAAAAAAATTAGAGATAATAATAAAATAATTTATCAGCTATAAACTAAAAAATACAGTAATCTATTTTTAGAATCGGTTTAATATTGATGAACTTTAATTGATAATAAAATCTTCACTAATTTTTTTATCAGTAGGCTAATTTTTATTCAGGATGATCCTATATTTTTGAATATTCCCAGGGAAGTAATAACACGGTTCCAACAGCTATTATCGATTTTTTATAAAATATGTTACCTTAGAATGTCTGGTGTGTAATTAAGACGTTAAGCTAGGTCATGATGGTAATTATTTAGAGTTACAAATCAAAATAATCCACTGTAATTTATTATCCAGACATAAAAAACTGATGTGTGAATTGAACTTATTTTCACAAGGTGATAAATAAAAAGTAAGTGGCCACAAGTGTGTCATTCTTGGCTGAATTCCATTACATGAATTCAAAAACACAGGAATACCAGATGAATCATAGATGATGCGGTGCTAACGTGAGCATTATGAATAACAATATATCAATGGATTCAAGAGTGATTCACCTGGCAGATGATATTGCATATATTTTACTAATCTATGCTATTCCGAGATATGGCTAATTTATTGGCTAATTTATCAATTCATCATCAGTTGATTGCAGTGTAACTGAAATTTCAGAAATAGTTGTTTGATGGTCTAACTATGCTGGTTATTGGCAAGTTTAAAGAATCAATTGTAGCCAAAATAAAAATTCCAATGACACTTGTGTGATTGTCATCCAAATAAAATCCAAGAAAAATAAAATATCAGTTACTGAAACATAAAAATTAATTTTCAATAGTACAGTATATTTTAAGTAATATAATAAATTGTATTGAACAATCCATCACTGGATTTCATTTATATTACATTACAAAAAAAGAGAAACAATTACAAAATAAAATAAAAGAAAACAATGTTTAATATTAAATAAATAAATTCCAATGGCAGACATTTTGAGTTGGATGAATTAATAAATATGCTTAAAGGATTTAGATAAGATTAAAATCAGATTACATGTTCTGATCCAGGAATTGTTCTTGAAAAGGACAAAACTATCTATCGAAATAAAAAGTTCTAAATAACTCAAAAAAATTTCTCCAAGTCAGAGATTAGAAAGAAAGCTGCTCTTACAGATATCTAAGAGAATCGAGAAACTTTTCGTTCAGTAGAAGATTAAGAATCGTAAATTTAAAACTGCATAAAAGCTTTAGAAAGCTCGTGGATATAATATAACAAATATATATCACAAATTAAAATAATGAGAGAAATAAGACAAATTATATTTCTTTTCACTATCATCTTTCTTTCTAATTTAAAATATAATACTTTTAAATGTAATATTTATCTGAAGAAAATAACAATAAAATGTTACAAGATATAAATAAACCCATGAGATTTTTATGTTTTAGTCCATTAGATTTAAAATCCAATAACTATATAAGAAATACAAAATAGACTCTAGGATAGCTCGAGTGATGCTCAGGTGTTGAAGTATATTTTATTGCTTTTTTGTTATTTCTTTTTTCTTTTTAGAAGGTGTATTAGTTTCCAAGTCTCAACGCCTTAAACGTATCGATCGAAAGCAACGTGGTATTTGATAATCTCACTGCTGGAAATGGCGCTTGTCTTCCACCCCTGACATCTTGAGCACTTAAGCTTAGATACATTTTGCTTCATATAAAATGTTCAGTAAATTCACAATGAATAATTAACAATATTGATTCTTAAAATACTAGTGAATTAACTTTAAAATATGTTCAAAAATTTTTAACTCAATTTAGGATTCTTTCAGATGATCAACATTTATGTTTATAAATTATAAGAAAAAAAAATTTTAAACTCTTTTTAATTTAAAAATAGTCAATTATGTATTTTTTATTGACTTTTAAATATTTAATCTTTTTCTTTTTATTAATAAATCAAATATTTTAGAGCAAATTCACTAAAAGTTGAATATATTTAAAGTTCTTTTTCTCATGAAAAGTTTCTATCTTGCTGAATCGTGAATTTTGCTTCTAACTTTTTATGTAAGACAAATGTAAAGTTTTCGAGTTGGTTGATACATTCGAATAAATTGAACGAATTTTCATTATCATTAAAACAAATTTCTTCATACTAATATTTCATATGCTAATGAAATTTTTTAGCAATCACTAAATGGAAATAATTATTCCATCTGCTAATTGGTTTAACAATAATCTTTGAATGATGAGAGAAATGGGAAAATCAATGAAAATAAAACGAATAATCACAACATCACTAATGAGTAATAATACATTATTAGCAAACATTAGACAGATTACTTGTATGTTAATGATTCGTAAATCACCAGCAATACAAAATTCCACGAATATCTTTTGGCTGCATGAGATATAAAATCGTCATCAGACAGCCCCTCTTGTATACTCTTAACACGTGATTCTTATTTTTCCCTGCTCGTTTTCTTCTTCATACGCAAGATTAGAATAGCTCAAACGTAGTGATTCTACTCACTGTCGTGCTTGATCTCGAAGCGATCAGTTGTTTCATTTTAAATACACTTTTATTATTTTCAAGATAATCATGGAGGTTGCTACAAAAGGTAAGAGAAATATTTTATCTCAAGTTTCTTCTTGTGATTGTTGAAGAAAACATTTAATTTCAAGTAAATAAGACACAAATGAACTTTTAAACAAATTGGATGTTGAATTATTTTAATCGAGACTCATTAAAATAACTCTTAAAGCTCGTTTTCTTCACGTTTATTCTGATTTAACGACAAGCTATAGTATTAATTCCTTAGGAACTGTGTGGTGTGTATAAAGATGAAATCTCTTTTAAAAAAGTGAATTCAGCAATACCAGTATTTCAACTGAGACAATAAAGAAAAATTGCTCTCGCGAGATCTTTTTAACTGTAGAAAATTAGCTGTAGAATACTTGGACTTGGAGAAATAGGAACGAATATTACGAGAAATGGTGGGTACTTGGTATTTTCGTAGACAGTTTCTGAGGGTCAGTAATAGTGCTAGGGTAAGCTGATGATATAGAAGAGATGAGAAAAATAGAAAAAACAGGGCTGAACCAGCTTAACTTTTCTGTAATGTTTCTCTCTTGTGCTCGAGGCACCCTATTTGCTCACTCTTTATCCACCTTGCCCCATCATCTTCAAGATATTTCTAGATATTATCATTTGATATACTTGTTAAACATAAACGAAATAATACTCCTACGTTTTGTGAACATTAATTAAATTTTAATGGTATCATATTAATGTAGAGCTTGTCATTAAGAAAGACGTAAGTTCTACGTAGTGTATTTATTATTTTTATCATTTTGGAAAATATTATTTTTCCTTATTTTATTTTATTAAAGTAATTTTGTTCTTATTTGCAGCTAGTGACGCAGCAACGAGCTTAGTTGAACAACATTCAAACATGAATATCACATCAGCATCATCGACTGTGAAATCATCCAAATCCGTTCAGAGTATTCAAACGAAACAGGTAATTGAATCGTCACGGTCTGTAAAATCTGTCACGTCGTCATCAATAAAATCACACAAATCCATGGAGGTAGAAGAAGAAATTGAATATACAGAATAAAGTAGTATAAAAAAGAGCATTTTCAACAAATCAAAAATTCCCTCTATCGACATCTTTGGAGCAAGTATTTTTTATTCTGAACAAAAAGAAAAAATCGAGAATTTTTTTCTACTCTTCTACGCTGTGTTTTTTTTTCGTTGTCTTGCAATTCCTATCGATAAGTATGTCTTTCAAACTACGATCCGATTTCATCGAGTAATCAAGAATCTATCCAGTTCACATGATATCATTCAGACCACTAAAATGTTCTTTACGACAACCATAAACGATTTCTACTCCAAAAATGAACGATCATGGATCACTATAAAATCCTATTCGGCAGTATCTTAGCTCAGATTTTCAACGTTCCATTTACCTTCTGAATACATCCCTTCGACATTCGAAAGTCGTATTACGAAGACCCGTCAATTTATCGCACCTGGAGTTGATTAAACCAATCTCATAAAACACTTTTCTTCACCATGCCACTATCATTTGTTCATTGGCCAACTGGAGGAGCTTCAACGTAGATGTGTTTTCTTTTTTGTCATCATTTCAAAAAACTCCAATGACTAAGGAACTTTCTTTCATCGATGCAATATCCTTCATCAGTTATCAAGACCGGTAATTATATAGCAAACATACACAACAGCAGTTACTAATGAAAAGAGAGGAAAAAATATTTAAGATTAGAAATGCTCGGTCACTCATCTGTCTGTGAGATTCCCAAAATAACAATTCTGGCATTTGTGCCATGGCCGAACAGACACGCATATATGCATTGAATATAAAAAACATGACTAAACAAAAGAAAACAATGAAAAAAGAAGGGAAAAATTTTTGGCCGATACACTGTGAAATTTGGCAGCTTTCCAATTGCTCAAAACTTTGCCAAACCTTCAACAGTTGCTCGATCTTTCCTTCTCAGTTATACTCTACATACTTTTTCAATATTCGCTGTAATGTCTAATATATATTATCATATTGAATAAAGAAAAATTTATACATAAAATAGAATTTTTATTCATATCTTCAACCTTTTTTTTTATGTAATCACGTTTAATAAAGATGATTTAATAATACTGTTCACTGAATTTAGTTAATCAATACAATCCATGAAACCATAGAATACTTTTTTTTTAATCTTTGCTACTACTGAGGAGTAACATTCACAAAGCACGTGAGTATTCAAGTTTTCTATTGTCATCAATGTCCTATGGGTTCTTTGAGACGCAGGATCTTTCTCTTCATATCAACCAACGACTGTAATAAAGCAGAAAAATAAATAAAAAAGAAAATTCGACCGAATGTACGTGGAATATTGAAGAGCTTGTAATTCCAGAGGGAGTGAATTTTCTGATATTTTTTTATTTTTATTTCTCTAACGAAGGCATTTTCTTTTTTAATAATAATCAATGTCAACTATGTTGATAAATATTTAAACTATGATCGTTATTTTAGTTTCTGTTTTATTGTCTGAGTTATTAACATTCAATTAAATATTTGAATACTTCTATCTATTTATAAACAGATTGCTGAAGGATATTAGTGTTTATTGTTATTATTTATTTTCATGTAATTGCAAGAAGTTTCAAAGTAAAGAGCAGTAATATATTTTTTAAACTGTACTAGCAGTAAATTTAAGATGGAACTTTTAAATAAGAATGAAAATTAACAATTTGTAGTAGTAATTCAAGGAAAACGAGTTAATATTTCTTGGTAAGTTTCCACGTCCATTAAACCTGCTTCATTATATTCATCAGTCTTACAAAATTGATGATATTTCATTTACGGTAGTAGAAGAAGAAGCCAAAAAAAAAGATACAAAAAAGGGAGAAAACACTTAGGGTGTACATAGTGTAGAATCTATTTTTTACACATTGTTTATAGTCCTTGAAATATCATTAATATCAATCACATAAAATATTGTAGTATTTTACCTTAGTTTCTAGATCTCTTTCTTCAACAGAAAATGTCACACAAAACCCTAACCCTCTTTCACTTACCCCGAGGGATCAATTGACATGATTATTTTATGGTGGGAAGATACCAGTTCAGTTGGAAATATCGAGAAAAAAGTTTGCTCATTCATAGCATTCTGAATATTTTTCAATTTACTGGAAGATTTAAATAAGTTTGAAAAAAATTGGGGTATGACTTTGACTTGTTCGTTCTTTTTTCTTGTATCACTAGTTGGATAAAAAAGAACTTGAACGTTTTAGTAAATTTTTTTTTTTCACTTTAAACATTAAAAGAAGAAATATAATTTTTATTTTTGCTATGATTAATATTAGATGACTGTTATTTTTTTTTTATCAATTTTATAGTTTGAATAAAATTGTAATTTGGTAATAAAAAACTGAAATAAAATATTTTTATTCTCAGAAAATTTTAGTATCTGTGATATTGAAGGAAAAGTAGAAGTTTTACGATAATTCATAAATAAAAGTTCTGAAGTTATAGCTCATAAGTTACAATGAATAATTTTATATTGACATTAAAAATGATTATCTCATGTTTTTATTAAAAACAACGAATATCAATTACTAATTATCCTATCATTTGTCTTTTAATTAAACAACAAATGCTTTTTTAAATTCAAGATATGCAATTAAATTTTGAATAAAATTTAATAATTCAAATGTAAGGTCAAGGCAGAAGAAACAATTTAAATCATTTTCGATAGATTTATAAAAATATAAAAAAAAGTAACTAGCAATAGACTTCCTTGTGTAAATCTTCACTCGAGTCAAGTTAAAGTTAATCGAAAATCAACATGAGAATATTTATACTGACGAAAGTAGGATTTGAAGATGATTTGATAACTGTATTACAAGCTAAAGTTTGATATGTCGATCAATAAAAGGAGCACAAAAATACATGAGTAAGAAATAGTTTCAAAATGAGATTTGCACATTTGGTGAGAAAAAAAGATAAAATGACATTTGTAAAGATATAACATCTACATACCTACTGCTATTGACCGAGGTGTTACTTCTACTGCGTCGAGATATAATGGAGTCTCCACGATTCACCACACCTTTATGTGTAATGCTGAATGCCCTAAGTCTGTACAAGTCGTCACCAGCACGAGGATTGTATGCTTTCTCTGGCAAGCTATGAACACGTGGTCTGATATGATCGGGCACTGAAAAAATAAAATATATACAGTAATTCTTCAACATAATCATGAATATTTTAGCAAAAAATAACAAGTTTTTGATCTAATACAAATTCTGATTATCTTTGGACCAAAATAGATTAATGAAATTGATCTGAGGGTTGTATATGTATTAGCAGTAAACAATTAAATATTTTATTACTCTTTCATGTAGGGGAGATCCCTCAGGGTTCTTTGACTTATGAACGTATAAATTATTACTATGAAATGATAGCGCTAATTATACTATGTAGTTTTGAACTAAAATGAACTAGAAACTTAATCCTTCACTTGAATTAAAATTTCCTATTAGGGAATTATGTTTCCATGAAGGTGTAATTCAAGGTTTGTGAAAGCCAAACTAATTTTTTTTTTAAAGTTGAACTATTAATTTAATTAATTCCTAACAGAACCTCATATTATCACATATTGCTCGACCTTTAATTTTCGTCAGTATTACAGATAACACAGTTTCAAGTTTTACCCCAAAGTTCACTTTGAACAACTATCATAAAATGAAGCAGGTATTAAAAGTTTTTCTACTAAAAATTGCACATTTTTAGAATAAGTTTTCTTATTATTAATCATTAATATCAATGACCTTTGACCAGCATATTCTATTTATTCTCAAATAAAATTAATGACTAAATATAAATATTTATAAACTGGTTTAAAGAATAGCTGATATAACAGAAAATTGTAATTAATTACTGAGAAACAATTTAAAAAAGGTTCCATCATAAATGTCTTAATTTATATGAAAATTAATACAGCATTTAGTATTCATTGTTAGTTTTCACTAAACAAAAAAAATAATAGCGTGGAAATTTTTTTTCTGTTGGTTTAATATGCATTGAGTTAAAACATTATGTATCTGAGTTTCAGATGTAATTCGAGCCTAAGATAACAAGCTCATAGTCCATAAATTTCATTTTTTGGGGTTGTCCCTTATCATCCCCTCTCAGAGAATTAATTGACTTCGAAACATTTACTGGACAAAGTTTCCACTACACAGTTGGTCAACTTTGCTGTAGTGGTTTTGGGTCAGCCACATTTAGTCTCGATTGCCTAACTTAATTGAACATTTAATGAAGGTTGAAATCGTGCAATTCTGAGAGTACTGTAGATGAGGCTAATTTCAGTTGAAACTAGCCAAAAATTTTTATTATCTGAGTTTCTTATTCTTCTTCTTTTTTTTTTACAAACTTGTGAATAATTAGGTTGAATATTATTACTCAATCTCCAGTTTTAATCTCATCTTATTCACTTGATAATGATAATAGATTTAATTATCGAGATAAAATTTCCATTAAGTAATTTCAATTGAGAATGTTAATCCTAATGATTAGTGCTTTCCAAACACCAGTTCACCTGACAATCATTCTATTCTTGATATTTGGTAGTGGAGCATGCATTTTCTTTATTCTTTTATTAAAGTGCTATGAAAAAGACACTTGATGAATTTGAACTTTTCATCATTTGCATATTATTATGAATAAAACAATACCAAAGCTGTCAGAGCAGTTAAAAGTGATATAAAGATGTTCATTAATGTGCATATTAATTTATTCAGAGCTTATAATAAAATTAAATTGAAGATTTCATGTTCTACATCATAAATAATCTGTCTCTACTATCCACATAATGGTTTCTATTGGAAATCTGGCCTAGGCACATCACAGGACATCCAGAGTACAGAACACCAGCTCATCAGTATTCATAGCATCAAAGTCATCTCTGGCAGCAGTTGGCTTAACTGTGTAGCCTTTAACGTCTACCTCTATGTCTCTCACCACGTACATAATTTTTTGTGAAAAATAGAGATTATAAAGTAAAAAAATATTAGATGCCTAAAAAAAATAAATAACATGTGAAATGTTGAGATAAAGAAGGATGACTTCCTTCAAGAAAATCAATATTTCGGACGTTGCTAAGAAGACTGAATCTTTTTCTTCTCAACTTTCTCTTATACATCTTTTGAAATCATTTATGAACTGATGCTCATAAATTGCTCATTGATTTATTCATTTTCTATTTCAAAAGTTTCATTAATTTTTAGATTGAAGTAGGACTTGAATCAACATATGTTGCCTTTGATCTGTGTTTGCATTTCATTATATATTTGGAAATTCAACATTAGTTTTTCAACTGTTTATTCTTTACTTGAAAACTGTTGAACTTATTTTAATTAAATTTTTTGTTGTTTAATTTGATTTATTGCATTTACAGATTTTTTTAGTCCTAAAAAACAGCCTATCTTAGGAATAAGTTTCAATTTGTTGCAGCAGTAAAATTTCTTCTGCCTTAATTATTTTTATTAATAAAAGTTGATTTAGTAGGAGTTTTATTTATTTATAAAAATTAATACAAGTATATTACTTGAATAAAAATCATGAAACTTGGATATAATTAAGTCAAGTTTCATATCACAATCCTTTAACTTGAAATTGATTTATAGTTACGTCAGTTCCGATCTCTTTTCTGACTCGTTGAGCACAATTACGTTTACATCTACAGAACACCTAAATGAGATTATCTTAACAAGATATATCAACTATTAATTAATTATTTCTTCATTGGGTATAGCTTGAAATTGCTGTATTACTGAATCAAAAAACCAATAATTGTTCAATAATATGAGTCTGTATCTAAAATAAAAAGTGTAATTTTTTCACTAACTTGTTAGTGATATTGTTAAAAATTTTTCAGATTATTTTTCCGATATACAAGCATTCGAGTACTTCTGAGAAAGTTTTACAACTCCAGTTCACAAACATTTTTATATTAATTACAATAAATAATGAAGTGTCAAATAAATCACCATAATAAAAATAATAAAAGTATTTTGCATTGATTTATAATTTCTTTCTTTCGAAATATTGAAGATTTAAGCAAATAATTATAGTAGATTTGAAGAGAAATTTCCATTTAATTTGGAGAGTCTTCATCATATCAATGTCAAAATAAAAAAGTAATGTACTCTATTTTTCTCACTTACTTTGACAGCGGATTACACATAATAAAAATGACGATACATATCCTTCAACAATAAAATTTTGCTTTATTTTCATATTTTTTGCTCACAAGTCGTTTAGGAAAAAAAAACATTCCAACTTTTATCATTTGTTTTATATCTGCTGGAGGTGAAACTTCCATTTAAAAAAATAATTATAATATTTACAAAACATGGCTGGATATTATTTTCGAAAGCTTTGTTAGAAGACATTCTAGCTTTTCGCCCCACTTGAACATAATTCCACGTTAAATTGAAAGCAGGTCTCGGTCGAAGTTACTTTGAATATCTCTTTTCCTTGAAGCATTAGGACTGTATTATTCTACAGATGATCTTGGTGTTCAAAAAGAAGAAAGAGCGTACACACAATGTTTTATGCTGGACAAAAGGGTGATGGTGAACGTATTCATATAAAGAGATATAACTCACTTGTGAATAAACTCTCGTTGTGGTTGTAGGAACAATTTCCTTTCTTCAACCACTTCATTTTCTAGTGTATTAATGCTTTGAGTGTATAAGGGTCCATCAAAACCCCACACAACCTACCATACTCCTCGGAATTGCAAATTTGTGGTAGTTCATCGATTTTCCCTAATGTAGATAAGTTAAAGAACATAAATCGCTCTGTTTTCATCAAATAAAAATCATTTATCTCTGTCTTATTATTTTCAGCAGCTTTTTAGTGTACACTCAAACATTAGATATCAAAAATCTTTCCTAAGAATCTACGTTTTACATTTTTTTTTTCCATATCAATTTAACTACATCCATCATTTATCATTTTTGACAGGTACATCAACGTCATGGAAATGCATTATCTTATTTTTACTGTGAAAACTTTATCGTATTTATTCAGTTTATTTTTTTATGATAAAAAAGTTGAATTAAACTGTTTTCTTTTAGGAATGATTAATCATTATTATTGTTATTATCATTATTGGATATGAAATAGTATTCAAGGGAAATGAAACGGCTGCTGTCGGAGAGCAAATTGACTATCTATTGGTACGATCATAGTCATCTTTCAACAATTTTGCTCATGCGGATATGAAACCGCACATCAAATTGAATGTTGCCTCGGTGGAATGAGAATACTCAGGAGGTTTAGTATACCTTGAACGTATATGATAGTTCAAGAATTTATATTTTGTTTTATGATCGTATCGTAATACACGTACTTCAAGTGCATATTTAAAATTTTAATACCTCGATTATTTAATAACAAATAAGTGTTAAATAACAAAATTTCATCAATATTTAAAATAGATAGACAGATAAAAACAAAAGAATACCTTTTTCTTGCTCATGAAATAATTTAAAAACGATTTGTGGAAATTGATATCAAATATTTGTGAAAAAACCCCATTAAATTTTAATTCAACGTGACCTTACGACCTTAACCATTGAAAACTTTTTTCCAACTCCATTATTAAATCTGTCGTCTTGATATCAAATTCGATGCTAGAATAAAATTTCAAGAAGCGTTCAACTGATCGTGTACAATTATCTAGACTATTTAAGTATAGTAGATTATTGACAGGTATATTTATGAATTTTAAATTATTATAATTGAAGGTTAAGAAAAGAAAATATTTTCATCAAAAATTTAACAAAGTAAAAAACATTTTCTTTGAACTACCCACAAAAGTAAATGGAAATTAAACCAGATTATGCATAAAATAATGTTACTAGTGGAATTTTTAGGTGAATTAAAAATTAAAACTCTGCTCGGAAAAAATAAATATTTAAAAAACGCTTCAATCTGTATTTTTACAGTGAATTATCATATTTTAAATTGTACAATTATTAACACGATAAAATTTTTAGATGATTAAATAAAAAAAATATTAAACATAAAATTTGTTCATTATAAACATTTAATTTATTTGCATTGTTTGCAATAAAATATCTGTTAAATATAGTTAAAATTATTATTTATGTGAATGTGAGCTCGTTCTGATACTCAGTTTACATTGTACTATATCTGTGTCTGTATGAATGAGTATAATATAAGCAATCAATTCGTTGGTCAGATAAATTTTAAATAAGACAGTCAATACAAATTTTATTTCGTCCGAGTCCTTGAAAGCGTTGATTACAAACTGATCACACTACAAGCTGCACATTATACTTCGTATTGCTCGAATGATAAACAAAACTTTCCTTTGATTATGGGTAAGCAATAGACTTTATATAACCTCTATGTTCTTTTGTATATTATATATCTCTACAATATGGTAAGATAATTTTTGAATAAAATTACTGAGTCTGTTTATTCATGAAATTTTTAAAAACAAAACTATGATTGAACAGATAGATAATTGCTCAGTAAATAACTTACCAAAATTATATAACGAAACTTACTCTAAACACAGTAATAATCCACTGAGAATACCTGGTAATTCAAGAAAGTTAGAAGTTCGTCTCTGTCTACCACGTGGATGGGCATTGAAATTTAATGGTCCAATATCCTCATTACTGATATTAGTAGCATTTGAAACTTGACTATCTCGAGAACCTCGTCTTGATGCAAGATATGCTAAAACATACACAAATAATTGTTACGACGATATTTGCCGATGATATTTAATTATGAGTTAATAATGTGGATAATGGAATCAAAGGAAAATGCGTAGTTGTAAACTTCACTATCAAAACCGTGGAATTAATTTGAATAATTAGTGCAGTGTTTACTCACTAAAATTCTAAACACGTATTAATTTTCTAATCAATGATAATACATTAATCAACGTAATGTAAATAGCTAAAATACAATATCCATTATTTATAAGCAAATGTATTTTTTTAATTCAATGATTAATTAATTTAAAAGCACTATTTACTTTAAGTTTTATATTTTCAATAAACAATTTTAATGAATAAAACAAGATAGAATCCGATCAATTGATCGGATTATAAGTGATAATACTGGAACAAGTATTCATTTGAATATTGATTATTCAATAATTGATTTAATTACAGTTAAACAATTTTTGATATACTTTTGAACATATGGGAAGAATGAAAGAAAAGGAATTTAATTTTAATCAAATTATTTTTACGTGTTGGAGTAAGATGGTAAAGTAAAAAGGTCAAAACTTCCAAGTCCATTACCTAAACCACCTTTCATTGAACCTCTTCTTCGTGGACTGGAAAGTATTGTAACTTCAGTTTCAACATCATCAGTTGCAGCTGCATCTGTGAGATCACTAGTAGACCGCCGTGAAATATTTTTCGCTCTAGATCTTTTCGACATTTTCTCTGTGACCTCATTTAAGCATCCGTAACTCTTATTAAGGTGAAGACTTCCTAGTCTTTTTCTGACTTGTTGAGGACTATCTCTATCCTGACGTTGAGAAAATTTTGTATCTGATTCTTTGTAAATTTTTTCACAGATCTCTTGGCTCAAACTTGTCTCAAATGTATCAGCATCAGCCGCTCGAGGGCTTGGACTTCTTGAAGACGATGTGACAATTGTGGGTGAATTACATGGTCTCAAATTAAAGCAAGAATTTCTGCGAGAACGTTCAGCTACTCTAATTGGGCTTTTTTGTCCAAAGCTTTGCGGTGAGCCACAAGAGGGTGATCTGCTACGATTAATGGTTGAACTCATTGGAGTTGGAGAGACAGGATTTCGTGGAGGATAACTCAGGGTTTTTTCAAAAGTTTTACGTGGATTGCAAAATTGAAAAATAGGCGATTTAGCTTCAGATGCAAGACGTGGACTTTTCATTCCTGATGATGAATGTTGACTATGAAAGCTTAGACTCTTGCCTATACTACTTGATGTATTACTTTCAGACAAATGGCCAGAACGTGATGCAGATATAATAGAATCAATTTTCCCAAAATCATCAAAGTCAAAATTCGCATTTGGAGTTTCTGGATAATACTCTGGTGGGAATTCAAAAACTTTAGGAGTACTTGGGGATTTATTATTTAAGTTTTGGAGAGGATGACACGAATTTCGTTGTCCTGAAGCACATGATGAAAGTGGCTGAGGCAACTGTGGAAGCTGCCTTGGACTTCTTGGAGATTTGAGATTGGTATAAGAGCCTGGGCTATTCACTGCCATTTTCTAAGTGTCAAATACTTGAACAAAAATATTGTACTTTCTCTTCTTTCTTCTTTTTTAATTTCCCTTGGTTTTACTTCATTTCCATGACTTGTAATTATATTTTCATTTCATTTCCATACATTGTGAGCTTGGATTATATTTTAATGATATTTTGTCAACTGATTGTCACTATAAAATATGAATAAGTTCATTGTCCGATTGAACTTTCATCATATCAGGTCTGAGATTAATTAATGTTACCGTGGATACATACACAGCTACATATTATTTCCGTTATATTAATCGATATCTGATACAAGAGTTATTGAATTTATGTCTTGAAAAGCAGTATTCTAAAGATACATAACTCATTATTCATATTACTGTCAACAGAGTTCTTACAATGCTGTTCAATTATTGTTAATTGTTACAAATAATTCTCGTTAGTAAGAAATATTTTGCACGACTTTCTTTCATTGATTATTTTACTTGTTTATGCTTGATTATTATTTCTGTTCAAGAAAAATAAAGATAATTAATTTCTTTTTGATGATAACAAATAAGAATTTAATTGTATCATCAACTAGTTATATTAATTACTTTAAAAGAAAAAATAACTAGATATAAAACTCGCCAATTATATATCTTTCTTATTAATTAATCTATTCAATTAATAAAGTTTTAATGATAAAAAAAAACTTTGTACCTTAATTATAGATTGAAATTTTATTATAAGGTATCAATATTTTTGTTACATCTTTAATTTGAGGATAATACAACCCTTTAATTGTTAACAACATCAAAGTATTAATTGGGGTTGTGTAAATAAAAAAGAACCAATAAGTTATTATTTAGAAATGTTACGTAGGTTAGAACAAAATAAATATTATCACACATATTATTTAGATTACAGTGAAAGTTAGGGTTCTTTAATTTTAATTCAATATTAATATTATTCTTAAAAATACTTGTTTCATAATTAAAAAGGGTAATCGAATTATTCATTGAAAAAATATACAAAGTATAAAATTAATTATTGATAGATTAATTAATTAAGTTGTCGTAGAATTTAAATGGTGTTTTATAAAAGATATTTTTCCAATTAACTTTTTAGTAAAAAAAATTCTACATAAACAAGTGAAATGTCATTACTTCATTACTTGAGCTTCATCGACCTGCCTCGTGATTCAGACCTGTTGATTGTAGGAATATCAAAAATTCACTTTAATTACAACTTCACAATTATGTTTTAATTAATTAGTAAACTATCAATGATAGAAATATATTACTTAAATAGTCTGATGGAAAATATTTTATGTTGGAAACATACAACAAAAAGTCAATATGATAAAAGCACACGCTGTTACTCCCACGATTGCCGGCACGCTACTGAGGATTCGAGGCCACCCTGCGTTTTGTTCCAGCTTCCAGATAGACCTAGACCTCCCCCATACGATATCTCGACTGTCATTTATTCACCTACTCCAGTCAATAAAATAAAATTGTAATTAATCTTTTAATGAAATATGATCTACTTCCGTATAATATATATAACATTTAAAAAAATATTTAATAATAAACTACTTTCAAATTTACTTGAAAACATTAATCTATGGTGGCGTTCTTCTATCACTTTTCAGTTAAATTATACGATTTTATTTCATTTCTTTAAGCTCAATTGATTATTAGTACATATCACATGTGTATACTGTGAGAGAATTCATTAAAATATTTGAAAGAAAAATTTTCATTAATAGTAGCAAAAAAAAAAAATATTGTTTTTTTATTAATTTATGAATTATTAATTATATGCGTAGATTAAATTAATATTTGTATCTTTAACTACTTTAGATCATGATAATCGATTTTATAATTGAAAATGCTTCGTCGTAGTTTCATTATTATCTATCCACAAAACGGATAGAAAATAATTTCTTTGAGCTTTAAAATATTAAAACGACGTATTTGCGTACCTCCAATGATACATGATAATGAGTATAATCTCTTTACTAATTAATTATTTATTTACATTTACATTACATAAATAAGTATTAAGGTTTTGCATTAATTTATAAATGGAAATCAATTAATAACAAAATTACTGAAATAATGAATCTCTCTTTATTATTATTTATTTTACGCGCATGAGCATTAGCATACTTACATTCGTTTTAATAATACTTCCGTATCGATTCAATGCTTTTAAAAAAATGACTGTTTTATTATTTATATAAAAGTTAATAATGTAAAATTATATGTTTCGTATTTATGTCAGAAAGACGATAAATAATTCAATGAATGTAATAAAAAATATATTTTATTATGTCTAATGTGTTTAATAGAACATTTTATGTGAAGTCAAACTTGGATCTTTAACTCGGATGATCTAAGTTTAGTCCTTTTATGTTATTATTTCGACAGGAAATTACTTGGTTGATAATATAGATACTGTGTAGTTTGTATGAAGATAATACGGTGATTCAGATTTCTCTTTTTTTTTTTTTTTAAATATACCGTTTCGATTGAATAAATTTTGAAAAATAAACTCTAAAGTTAATTTAAATGGATTATAAAAAAATATGATGGCCGTTGATAGATGTTATTGAATAATCGCAATATTTTAACTACCGGTACTTTATCTATTGAAAAAATTCGTTCATGGTTTGGTCATCATAAATGTAGACACCACAAAATGAATGCATGAAAATTCTATTCAACAGTTTTTTGTATAAAAAAAATTTGTTTTTTATATGTTAACCTAAAGCTTAAGTATTTAAAAGTGAATTTAGTTGGATTTTATGATGAAAGAGTCTTTTTTTTAAAGAAATTTTAATTCTGATTAAAATTAATGACAAAGTATTCGAATAATTAAATTTTCAACAACTCTAGTTAGTTACGTAGAAAATAAAATTATCATAGTTACGTGAAAGTCTAAAATGAAGCTTTCTAAAGAATAAAAAAAATTTGATTAAAAAAAATGTATAAATATGTTGATGTCCGTATGTATGTGTGTGTGTGTGTTATAAACAGAAAGCAATTTTTTTGTGTCGATTTCCTTTGAATAAATGATGTCTATAGATGTCAATTTGTACACAGGGTTTTGTTCTAGGGTGCGAAAAGTGTGTACCAATATAACCTAAAGATTTATCATTAATCAATAACAGTTTTTACTGGTAATTAACAGAACTTTGTTAGTAATTTAAAAATGTGAAAAAGTTAGTCTATAACTTTCAATAAATAAACTATAAAGTTCGAATTTCTAAAGTGCAATCGTCGTGTTGTTACAAAACTCATAACTAGTCAAATTCCAAGCAGAATTGATGGAACGATTTTTCAATAAAAAGTCAACAATGGACTTTTTTCATTTTGTTAAGCAATGGGATTTCGACTATCGCCATCACTAGAACAAATTTCCTGCAAAAGTTTATGATAAAATAATGGCGTGAATTTCTGTTTCGTTGTAAATTAATTAAGTAAATACCTTTCTTAAGTAATATATGGAAGAACTTAAAATTAGTTTACATTTAAAAGTTTTGAAATTATTTGTTTTGACAAACATATGCACTTTAAGTTTACTTACTATGTTTCTCATAAACTATTTGCGTATATGACTGAATGTCAAAGTGAAACTGATAAGAGATATGAATTTCAATTGGTGGTGTATCATGTTTAAGTAAAAATGACTGCCATAATAATCTTTGGCAAATAATTAACCATGAACAGTTATTCAAGTACTCTTTACACTGAAATTTATTTAATAGGAATAATATGAGGTATGCAGATTTTATTGAATTTATTTGTAAAATGCGAAACTTCTCTAAAAAATTTTTTTTTCTCTGTGCAGAAATTTTATTTCAGCTTTTCAACTTTAATTAGATCCTATTAATACATTGAAGTCGATTAAATCAATGGAATATATTGATGAATGAGGTAAATAGAACTGATTGGATATCGTATGTTGAATAGTTGATTCAATTAAAAAAAATATTCATTATTTTCAGGTAATTAATTTTTTAATCTCTAGAAAATACTTCACATGATTAATTATCGAAAATATTAAAAAGCTAAATGTAATGGGAAAGTAATGTATTTCTATTTGGTACAATAACTGGAAAATTTATTTAAACAATTGCTAAAGTTATATTGAAAGAATGAATTTCGAATTAAATATGACTGTTGAGTCTGTTTGTGTTACAATAAAATGAAATAATAATAAATTAATAACAAATCTTAAAATCAATACTTAAACATAAAGAAATTATGAACAAATCAAATTAATTTAATTTTAACTGGTATAAAATATTTTATTCGAAATTATCCATTAAAGTTGGATAAATTATGCAGTTATTTTATCCCATTAAATTCAAATTTAATTAAATTTTTATTGTATGCATAATGATATGTAATTAGCTTATTATTTTTTCGATGTACAGATATGAAACTAAAATCACACAATATCTTCATCATTGGATTGAATTGAATTCAATCTGGTTTATTTGATGGCAGATAACTTTCACAGAATTTAACATGACAGATGTCGCGGTATTTAGTTAGATCTATCTATTTTTTTGTAAACATACAAAGTTAAGTTCAATTGGATTTGATAACTCTGTAGAATACACTATCTCATTTGATTAGTTCACATTAAACTAGAGAATTTAACTACAATATAACTTTAGCTCAATTACCAGAGATTAAATCATTCGAAATACATACTATTAAGGTAATTCTCATGGATAAAATAATAAAAAATTAATAGATATATTTTTTACAATATGACATGATAAATTATATTTTAGTGTTATTCACTACTAAATGTGTAATTCAGTGTTAATGACTGAAAGAAACATTTTTTGCTTGACGAAAAAAAATCTGGAAAATTTATTGCAATTTGTACGTAAAGTTTACCCAGTATGGGAGTAAAATACAAGAAAAGGCTTTACTACCCTGTATAAAATAAAGGAAAAACAGACTTTCAGTAAAAGGACGAAGAGAATCGTCCTTCTACCTGCAACATCTGTTTTAAATTTTTCTCCCTCACGTCTTAATGTTCAAATGGCCATAACTGCAAATTTTTACAGTAAAACTTCCACTATAATAATAGAATATTTTTCTGTTACATTTCAACTGTACTTCAAGCTCGTATTAAAAATTATTTATTTATTTTTCATAAATATATTCATAATTGCAGATATTATTTGACAGCAAATATATCTTATTGAAGACAATATGCGTGGCAACGTTGCATGCTTCGTCAGCTGATGTTTACTCTGGGTGACAGCTGATGCATTGATCCTGGATCCAACCAGGATACTAAATAAAAAATTCTTTTATTATCCTTTGAATCTCTGGCTCTTCAATGTCGTTTAAAAATGAGCTTAAAGTCCATTAATTATACAAGTATCTAAAAAATGGAATGAATTTTTTTTATTTAAAAGGAAATCATGTCAGCTGTTATTATATTCTTTCAATGTCATCATAACCACGTGATCATCCACACTGTTGCCAGTTTTAAATTCGTCGAGGGAGGTTGCTGTAAGTTTGGAAAATGTGAAAAAGATATTTTGAAACATAAAATTTATTTCTTATATTCATTAAATATTCTTGATTTATAAGTGATTTTCCGATTAATGTTATTAAAATAATCCAGTAATAGTTTTCTTTATTATTCAATGTCTAGACATTGAATTATTTCAAAATATTATTATTTAATATCATTGTACTTTATACAATACATATTAAATGATCTGATGTAGTAATATTTAAATTTATAATACAAACTATATATTATTCTTGTCCACAAAAAGTACCATGCAGACAGTTTGTATAGCCCTGCTCTGACAAATTTAGGGTAGAATTTGCTTATTTCATTATTTTCACTGCCCTAAGGTATACAATTTCTCTATGAACATGATAAATAATAGGGTTGTAATAAAATTCATTTACTTATTATATTCATTATAATGTAATTTAATAAATATTTTTTAGGTAATTCGGGAAGTCTAATGTGGTAAATAAAAAATTAATTATGAAAAAACTGAAATAAATTTCAAGCAATCAATTTGGCTGTAAAAAGAATATTTTTCCGAAAAAAATCAATAATGGATGTTGGAGTGGATTATCATCTATTTCAAATAATTCATGTACATTACAAAATTTCAATTGTTGTTAATCTGAATTAGTCATCAACTCTAAATTGTGACTCTCTACAGTTTCTGTAAGTAGTATTATCTTTTTCTAGAATTTCATGCCCACTCTATAATGTGAGCATTAACGTCGAAGTAACACCAGAATAACAGTTAATACCTTAGGATGCTTAGAACCTAGTATAGGTAGAAAGTCTAGTAGCCAGAAGCAGACATCATAGATGCAGTTAGTGCTGCGCAGTGTGTCTCGTTGTGTCTGAGCGTGCAGATTCAAAATCATCGTAAATCCAACTAGATTCTAGTTACTAAATACATACATACATTAGCAGAAGTGATTCGTACATACACGTGAAGATAAAATGGCGGACGGAGTACGAACATTTGAACTTCAACTTAATAAATTATCTGGTATTTATGCACCAGGAGAAACATTACGGGCCAGAATTTTTTTAGATCTTTACAAACCAAAATGTATTAAAGGTAAGTGACATGGCGTCAAGTTATGTTTTTTGTTATTAAAGTAGTAATAATTAGTAAATAGTTTTATGATAAAGATAGAGTAAATTTATCCATTAATTGAGTCAGAGAATGATATATGGTTTTATTATTTTTAGATATTATTTAAGTTTATATTTCAAGGCCAAAATTGAAAAATTGTATTATTGTATAGTTTGATATCTTGGAAAAAAGCAAGGTGATGATTTCTACGGGAATTTTTTGTATTAATGGTTGTATTTTAAATTATAACTAAGCATTGTACAGAAAAACTTGAAGAGAGATAATTTTTTCGGTGATATTTTTAGAAAAAATACATATGTTAGATTTTTTGGAGAAGTTTATCAAACTAAAACAAATAAGTGAAATTAGATAATTAGTCACCTTGAACTAATTTTATTCAAGTTAGCTAATTATCATTAAAAAAATAAAATGATACATATATATGATTAAAAATGGTGATAATGTAATCAATTATCAATGAAATATATGAGAATGAGACAAAGAATATTTTGGACAATAATTACGACGTAGATGATGATATTGATCGGAAGTAAAAATTTTCTCCATCATAATTTATTGGACGATAACTTTCTAAAAAAAAAAAAAGAAACTCAGTCAAATTTGAAAAAGTTTGTTCTCAATGTGAGCCAATAACTTTTCACTGAAATGTGAAAGAAAAGTCTAATAAAAAAAACGAGGAAAAATGAGTGGAGTTTTTTTATTATCAACTTGAAAGGATCAGACAATGTCAATCACAGTTTAGTTTACTAATTGATTTTTATTTTCTTTTTTATCATGAATTTGTTATTTCTATAAAAAAAATTTAAATAATCAAAATTTACTATAAAATGCTATAAGCTTATATTAATCAAATATTATCATTAAATTAAATAATAAAAATAATTGTAAACGAGACATTATTAAATAATTATTTTAATCATGATTGTTACAGCTCTCAGAGTATTAATAAAAGGAATATGCAATGTTAATGATAGGCCAAAAACTACACGAGGACTAAGTGAATCTGTGTTAGCTGAAGAAATATATTTCGACAGCAATGTACTTATTTGTGGTGGAGATGGTAAGTTGAATACAATATTTTAGGCCATCTTTTGAAAGAGGGAAAAACCTCTAATGATCGAAACATATGTTCTATACCTTAATATTTCCTGTTGAATAAGAACAGAAATGTATTTTCCTACAAAATTTTCTTTTGTGTTTATTAATTAGACTGTGAAATCATCAATAGAAAATGAATGGTAGAATGTATTATTTCTCAATAATCAATATAATATTTATCAAGATACAGCTGCTAATTAATTCAAATTTTTTTTAAATGTTTTCATTGTTTAATTATTTTTCCAACAGAAGAAATTACGATTCCGATTGGTGAAAATTACTACCTATTGAGTTATGAATTGCCTGAAAATGTTCCAACTAGTTTTAGCCATAAATTCGCATCAGTCAGATACATCATAAAAGCTGTATTGGAAGACCTTGAGAAATCCACCCATGAAGCTCATGCTTATCTCCGTATTGACGCTCCTTTGAAATTAGAAGATTTAAATCTGGTATGCATAAAGTTGTGAATTACTTAATTTTATAATTAATTCTGAGTAATGTTAAATTTTTCAAACTTACCATTATGTACAATTTACAGACTCCTATAGATGATACTGATGCAAGAAATGTTAGCAAATTTTTGCCATGTTTCATAAATGGCTACGTACGATTCCGTTTCCGACTTCCACAGAATGGATTTAATTGCCACGGAAAGATACCTCTGAAGATAAATTATATTAACAAATCCAGAACAGTAGATATTAAGAAGATGACATGCTCTTTGATTCAAGTAAGTATTAGAAAAATATTTAGATAATTAATTTTCAACTGTAAGCAGAAATATTTGATTCAAATAATTATTTGTCCAAATGTATAATCGATCATTTGGTATAGATTTAGAAATAATTATGTCAATGTGCTTTTTAGTAATCAAAAAAATTTTTTTTTCATTCCTTTATTAGTACATAACATTCCACAGTAGTGCACCATTTCACAACAAACGAACTAAAAAAAGAGTCGTTGAGACTGTAACACAAACAGGCGCATTTCCAAAGGAATATGAAGGAACAATGGAGTTAAAAGTACCTGATGTACCAGTCTCTTTTTTTAAATATTGCAAATATATTGACGTTGATTATCAGCTACATGTCACTGTTTCATTTAATGGATGGTAAATAATATATGAATAGTATTTGTTTTATTATTTAAATATGACGTTGTTTTAAAGGACGATTTTTTAATTATTTATATTTATATTTCAGTAATTTTAAACTAAAGAAAATATACGACGTTGTCATCGCATCGAGCCTCCGAGAATTTTACGATTCAAAATTTTTCTTTATTGAAGATAAAAATACAGTTTATGCATCAGCCAAATCATCTAATCAAATTTCTACACACCGCAGTCGGAAGCCGGATGTCATTGACAATTCCCATGTAGCTGAATGTAAGCAGGATACTGATGTAACAAAATGATTGATTATTTATTTTTTACTTGTAAACACAATTTTACAGTTCCCCCATCATATGATTCAATTGTGTCCGATCATCATGGAATTAATCACGATGATTATGAAGGAAGCCAAAATTATCATGTCGATGGTGGTCATCATCATCTAGATAATGATAATCACCATCATGTAGATAATAGTAATCATCATCATGTAGATAATAGTAATTATCATCATGTAGATAGTTATCATGGTTGTCATGATGGTGGTTATAGTGGTGGCTACGATGGTGGTTATGATGGTGGTGACGATGGTGGATATGATGGTGGAGACTGAAAAAAATATATATCAATCTCTGTATATATTTGCATACGTTTTACCACAGTAGGCAAATTCAATTTTTTTTTATCTTCATGTAAACGAGACGTGTGAATTTATGGTTAATTTTTCGACAATATTTGAGAAACAATTATTGTTTGATCAAAGTAAACTCAATTGATGTGCCAATTTTAATATATGTATTGTTTTTATCAAATATTCTTTTTCATTAATTCACTATGGTGTTCTTGTATATTAATCGATTTTATGGAGTTTGAAAACAATCATGCGTGTTATTTTGTGTTTGAATTTTTCAATGCATCAAGTAATAAATCGCTTTTTCTTTTTGATGGAACATCCTTGTTTTTATTTGCAAATAATCATAATTATTGACTTCATGATTATCCAGTTAAATAATCCTAAAGGTATTATAAAATAATTTTCTTGGTACTTACAATATTTTTTTGATATTGAATTAGTTTTAACAAAATTTTTATTCAAATTGTGTACAATAATATTATTATAATAGACTAGAAACTTAACATTATTCTACAAAAATATGATTTTAATTTTTCAGATAATTATATTCCAATACAGTTTTAGACCATTGAATTCTTCAATTTCAATTTCGTTGCTAAAAAATAATTCAACCAAAAAGTATCATTACCGACCGTAAAGAAGTTTAATGTACCGGCAGTTAAATTCTATTTTACCTTAGTTGAACAAAGCAGTTATTTACCGACAAAAGGTAAATGAAAGCAATCTTCCAACGGTCGGACAGAAAGAGACGACAATTGTTCAGTATCTGTTGACTTTAGATAAAAAAATTTCAATTTTCACTGATCTCCCTTTTCTCTGAATCCGGTACTATTTCGACGAATGTTCATTCAGAAAGTATTAGCTCCGATAGATGATAATTATGTGAAAAAATTATGTTTATCCACTTTACTGGTAAACTGTAACAACGAGAAAGTGAACAAGTAGTATCCACGAAATGACAGAAGTAAGCTGTAGCGCTGATGTTGAAAAAAAAAGTTTAATTTAGTCAAGTACCAAATCAAAATTCATGTGAGTAAGAACAATATTATTGAGTCAGTCAATTTTTTTTATTAAATATACATGTATGCAAACAAAAAATGATATTTCAATTAAAATTAATGAAGAGTTGATAATTTTATTTTTTAAATATTTAAAATATATTTTTAATCATTTTAATTACAATAGAGTTTTTTATGTAAAACATTTTGCTTACAAATTTAAAATTATAAGTTAATTATAAGTTTATTTTCACATAGAATATTTTCTTGTCTAAAAATCATAAGGTAAATTTACATGAAAATTTCCATATATTGATTGATTATAAAAAAAAATTATTATTTTTACGAAAAAACACTTTGGATTTATGGCCATATACCACGCAAATACAGTAAATAAATATATCATAAATTGAAAGATAAATAAATATACTCATGTATACGCATCAACTTGGAAGTTTTACTATGCGAAGCTCTCCTATGCTTCGTGTGTAAGTATGTGTGTGAATGTGTGGGTATATGGGAAGAGCAGCCTGTTGCGTCTATTCGTGTGGAATTGCAAAAATACTGAATTTCGAAGCCTCAAGCTTTCATCGCTTGTATTTACAATAGGAAATCAATTGAGTCATAAGAAAAATATTCGTTGACGTAAAAACATGATGTGAAATTTTCATTATTCTTTAACTGTATTTTTTGTTCAATTTCTCATATAAAATATACGTCGAAAAGAAATTATATGTCATAAAATTGACTGAAATATAACATCAGTAATATTGCACTTTTTTCTATCTCATGTTAGTCTTAACGGAAATGCTGTACAATAAAATACAATTGTAAAATAGTTGATTAAATGTTTGATAAAAATTTTTAAGTTTTAATACAATATTGGATTAAAAAAAAAATTATTTTTCAAAAATGCAAAATTATGTTTCAAGGTATTTTATTTATTTATACTATTTTTTTATTGAAGAAAATAAATGGGGGTTTACGAGGTATTTAAAGCAGTTAATATTTTATGTCGTGAAAGCAGGTGACTTGCGTCACGTATTATTTTCCACAGCTTGTAAGCGATAAGGAAAAAAAAGTCGGGCACAATGCCGCCGAAGCATGCTATATAATATCGGCATTTTACTTGTGTTTTACCTATATACATTATATACGTGTATATTTTACGGTTTGTGCATTATTATTACTTCAGTACTTGATAGATTACAACAGTAAATCGATACTTGCAAGTAAGTTACTTTACGAAAACCTTTTTCTTCTTTTTTTGTATATTAATATAAAATTACGAATTATTAAGAAAATACGAGAATACTTTACCAAGACTCATAAAAAAGTAAAAACTACTTTCAACAACAAATAAATATGCTAATAATTTTAAACAAACTTTAAATGCCACGTGTCTTCATCTTTTCAAAGTTTAGTTGAGTTTTTTTATCAAAGTGGATGGAAGAAAAGCGCATCTTAAAGATGCATCATATATATATATATATATAAACTCAAATATTTTTAAATAAAAGTTACCAAGTCTCTGGGAATAAAAAACTTTTCACTCAATTCCATTTCTTATTGTAATCGTAATGAATGCATATCGGCTTTAGGTGAAATTGTGTAACGGCTGGAGATGAAACCCTCTTCAAGTTTGCAGCGTCAAATTTCCAGGATTTAAACAAAATAAGAAGCTATATCCTCTTTTCTTCAAGTACTTACGCCTTACTTTGGTCTTAAGAATACATAAGAATATCCCGTAAACTTTAGAGAAAGTAAATATCATTTTTTTTTTCACTCGTCACATTTCGTAATAAAAAAAAAACTTTATTTAAATTTCTAGTGTTTTAAATGGTTTTTTTTTTAATTATGTTTAATTCTTCTTGATATTTATTTTTAAATAAAGATAAAATTTTTCATATGAGATATCTGGAAGAATAGGTGTATTTATTAGAAGGAGGGTTAAAGTGTCAATGCCACATTGCGTAGATTGGACCATATGCCGGTGCGATTTGATTGTGTATCTAGAAACAAACCACGTAAAGAGGTCACAGACGTGGCCGCTGACGGATGAATAGAAAATGTATGATAAGCAACGAAATTCTTTTATTGAGATGACATGGCCTCTAAGTGAATTCGAATAATTTATTTGTGTCACTTTCAAATGTTCGATATTAATAAAATATTTGAAACATATTAAAAAAGCGACGAAAAAAAAATATCTAACGATTGACAGATGGAGAAATATGTAATGAGAAGTTTAAAAAATGTCATTGATTGAAGAGTGAGTATTTTTTGGCAACATTCTGGTCGAGAGACAACCATGAAAAGGACAGTAAAGATAAGAGGGTTTGAAGCAAAAATTAAAAACCGAAAGACAAATGCTCTTGCTATTAAATCATCACGAAAAACTTGGCGTAATTTAATAAGCAATTTTATGTAAATTCTAGGGACGTTACTGGTAGCTTACGGTTGTTTCTGTTTAATTTCACAATGTTTGCACGCGACATGGTCGGGATGATGGTACCACATATCATTACTAATCATTGTAATGAAAAGACTAATAAAAAAAAGTGTCATTTATTTTATAAATAGAAATATCTATCATTATTAATTTTAAATGATAAAGTGAATATAAAAAATAAATGTTTATTAAAAATTTAATTTTTTTTTAATTAATCAAGCTTTGCTTAAATGATAAAAAATATTTTAGTTCATTTTATTCTTGAATTTTAATTGTTTTTTCATTTTTTTAATAGTGTTTGTTTATTGGTCTCTACTGTAAATTGAAGTGTGTTAAAAATGAACACACATAAACGTATTTAATGTTAACTACCATAAACAAGGTGTGTTATAATCTATAATTTGTTTGGATTCTTTGTAACACACTTCGATTTGCAGTGTAATTACTTTACAATTAAAAGTTCATTTTAAGAAAAATAATATCACAGTGTAACAATGACATTCAATTCTTTCACATTTGGAATAAACTCCACAAAAACTTGGTCTATTTTTCATGTCAAATAAACTCATAAATCTTTTTGAATCTGTCTAATTATAATTCGAAAATTTTGTGCAAAAAAGTTTTTTATTAATAATTTTATTGATCATTTTTTTTATCAAAATTTTTGCTACAATATATCAAGGTTAATGTTGAGGCTGAAGAGGGTGAGATTGGTTGCTTATGAGGTGTCTGATCCTTGCTTGATGCGACGTTTTATCCCAGGGGATCGACAATCGATTCATCACAACTCTCAACGTGTCTATGTTGTAAAGATGGGAGAAGATGATGCTTTGGATGGCTTTAACGTATATATATATATATAAATCTTGGCCAAATCTGTTGTCGCATAATTTTGTTCGTTATATATATGTACCATCTTATATAAAAAGCCATAATCGATACAGCGAGAAGAATGATAACGTTTCTTTTTATTAAAAATATTTTCAACACACCAAAATCGTATTGAAAAATGTCATGTTCGGAATGGAGGTGAAAAAAAAAATATTTTCAAGAGATTGCAGTGGAATACCAAAAAAAGCGTTACCAATTTAATATTTATGTACAATAAGCCCAACTTTTTCGCATCGTCTAGTGCTTTTCCAGCAAAAGCAATATATCGATGTTTAGCAACCAATAAACGAATCCTTCAAAGAGAGCTTTTACGAAAGTAGTGCCTTAGGGGCTTAATACGGGAGCTTTTATATATGTATATTGTAACAGTGCCAACTGAAGCACGCTGCTTTTATGGCTCAAAGTAAACGCATTTATAGAGCCGTTTTACAGGTTCCTCCTCGGTCCACTTGTTTCTTCTAACGTGCAAATATTCAACAACTTTTCGTTCGACGCCAATTTTATGAAAATTTTATCAATAATCTCTTACTGTTCTATATTAGTTCTTTTTCTTTCTTTTTTTTGCTTTTTTATGAAGCTTCCTTTTTAGTATCATAACAACACATACTTATGATTGAAAATACTAATGACATTTGATGACTCTAATTTTTTTTTTTAATTATTTCTATTTCTTCTCTTCAATTTTTATCTATAAAATCATAATAATGAATGTTAACTGTAAATTTGATATTCATTACGAGTACTCCTGATGTATTAATTATATAACAATAAAAATAAAGTAATGGGAGTTAGAGTAAT